AGATGGCGCTGTTGTTGACTGAAGGGCCCCTATCTTCGTGGTACGGTTTCCTTACTACTTTTTAAGTAGGATGAAAAGTCCTGTCATTTTTAGCGATATATCCACTTATTTACGCCGCTTTTTGCGAAAGCTCTGTCCCTGAAAACTTCTTGCAGCTCACGACCTGTCACTTTTTCTGTTTCCGCAGGAATCAAATCTCACCTAGCTGGAGCCGATCCTCTTCTTCTGAAGTGGTAAAATGTAGGTTTACTTAAAAATGCGAATTCTTTGCAACGGAAAGAAGCAATTACGCGATCATTCCTACGTTAGCACCATGAGACATCAATATGAACACTATGATAAGACCGTTGCTGCCGATCGAATGCAAAGAAAATATTCGCACTTTGTTTTCGAACTTTTGGGATGACCCACGTACTAACGCAGGGAATTACACCATGAATGCAAATGGCACGCGTCCCTAGTACTTTTGGAACGGAACTTGATATTGAGTCTCTAAAGGCAGCACGGGGGAAGGTATTCGAATTCCTAGATACATTCGACGAAACAGGCAGCACGATCCTATGAGATCCTCAGGAAATTTGGCACTGGAAACGGAAAGAAGAAAGTTGACGTTTTGATCTGACTCCATGGGAACCCCTCACGTAACGGAGATAAAGGAATCCCCACCCGTACTCGGGTTTCGTGCGACGTAGGAAATCTCGGAATGGTTGACAGACATCTCTCACTTTAATCCGTCTTCATCTTTCTCGAGTCCAGGGCCATTGTCTTGCCGTCCTTGTCTGATCTCGACGTATACCCTGTGTCAAAATGGGTAAAGGGCTTGATGTTTATGAACCTCAGGAAAACTCAATCTTCGCAATACCGCGTACATGTCCATTATCGAGTTTATGGAAAACATCATTTTTCCTCGAAAGTGTTCTTTTTTTCATTAGCCAATGTAATACTAACGGAAGTAAATTTAAACGGAAGCAATTTTATTTCTTTCCCACGCCTTTTAGGAATCGGCGTGTATTCTGTGGGTCGTCTCTCTGGATTCCCCTCCTAACTGAAGGGCTCCCCCTCGGGCCTTCGCTTCACGCCGTGACGGGATTAAGGAACGGATCGTCCGGCCAAAGTCCCGCGTTTTATCGACTATATCTTGACGTCTTTTCCCACGGAAGCAGAGCGTTGAAATGACCCATTTTGCACGCTTCCAAACCCGAACGAGATGGGCGATTCCGATCGGGAATGTCACTGATCGATCGAGAAAGAGGTTATGAGGAAAGGATTTCAAATGGGATTTCCTCCTCAGTCCGAGTTGACATTTTCTCCACGCCGTGCCGAGAGTCACATTTGTACGATCGAGTGCAGAAGTGAACAGACAGACGGACAAACAGACGGACAAACAGACGGACAAACAGACGGACAGATATGGTGGTGCCTGGAAATGAAAAGAGAAAAGACGGGAGGATCGTCTCCGAATGGCGCCCGAGGCAACAAACCTTCTCCGAAGAGGAAGGGAAAACTCGCCTGGGGGAAGAAGACTTGCCCGGATGGAAGACTTGAACTCGGATGCTTGCAGCTCCGCGGCATCCGAGTCTCAGTCCATATTTTGGAAGTGTGTCTATGCCTCTTCTTTACCGTTCGTGCCGCGAAGTTGTGGCCGGGGTCCGGCGTTTGGTCGTCGCGATCTTGTGGATTCGCTCCGAGAACAATCCAAGTTCCTCAAGCATCTTCACGTTTCTTCCTCGAATTTCTTCCCGGAGTTCCACGGTGAGTCGCTTCGTGATCGTCTCGGTCGCGGTCGAAAGTCCGGGTGTTCGCGCACGCCGACACCTTCCGGGGGTGGGGAATGTTTCCTGACGTTCTGGGTCCATGTGGGCGGACGGGACGAACGAGGAATTTCGTCGAGTCTCTACTTGATCACCTGGGAAACTGATGGTTTCTAATTTTCTCTCGAATCGCGTCGGGAAATGTGTTGGCGAGGGAAAGTTTTGTCGCACTACGAGTTTTTCCCTGGTTGAATTTCGACGCACGATGTCGTGCCGGTGTTGGACTTGGAATTCGTCGCACGCGAATTCAGATCCGTAGTCGAGTACTTGCGAGTACAGGTACTTGGATGCGTCCCGGATTTCCACGTAAAGTTTCCTCATTCGTACCCGGAAACTGCTGCTCTGGGGATTCAAAACGATTCAATGCGACGATGTCCGTTTCGCGGAGCCGAATCGGATCGAATTGAACTGAATCGAATCGATTAAATCGTCATGGATTTATTTCGTGGTGATGCATCCGTCGCTGCGAGCCGTGTCACCGGTCGAATCGTGTCGAGCGAGCAAATGTTGAGCGATTTAATGGATCGTCCTGAGAGTTTTGCCGAGAGTGCCTTAAGTTTTGACTCCAGGTACGTTAGAAATTGATTGTAGGACGTTCTGTTTAGACTTTTGAGGAGCGGAAATCGAATCTCGACAACAGTACGTACAGTTTCGGCAAGGGTACGTTAAGTTTTGAAGGTGATCACTCATGGAGAAGTCGCAGATACGTACCTCGTATATGAGGGCATTGTGCATTACCCTAGTCTGGCCTGTAGTTGGGAGAAGCTCACATAGTTTTCTCGATCCCGTACGTCCACCATGGAGTCTTAATGGTGAAATCGAAGCGGATCATGAAAATACTTGAAATATTAAGCTCGAAAAAAGAGAAACCCATGTTTGGACTCCAGAAGTATTCGTGACCCTATGAAAAAAAAGTTTTTTTCGATGTGAAACCTAAGAATTTCTACCTATCATTATAAATTGCGTTTATTGGGACTCACAATTCGTTATAGTGGGTTTATTTTCATTTCCATAATAGACGCAGTGACATACACGTATATACAGAAGTATATCTTCATGATTCAGGAGAGTTGGAGTTTTCCCTTCATTCACACATTATCGTCTTTTTTTATTTTCTTTCTGTATGATACATGAGCGAGAAATCTATGACAAGAAGGAATACTAAAGCTCCAGATCTATCCCAAACAGCATGTTTATGTTAATTTTACTTAAAATGAATGTAAATTTTTTGTCCATTTTATATTATTTTTACGCAAACCACAGTCAAGATAATGTCAACTTGTTAGCAAAAAGGTCACCTCTGTGATAAGTAAACGGTGATATAAAATTAACGTAAATTTTACGTAAAAATGACATTTCCATTTGCATTCCAAACAGCATGTTTACATTCATTTTACGTAATATTTATGTTAATTTTCCCCTGGCATTCATGCGTATTTTTGCAATTTTTTGCAAATAATGTAAATTGTTTATTATATTTGTTATTAACTTTGTAAACAATCAGGTATGTTTGCAAATTGCACCCTCATAAATCCCATTGTTGTAAACTAATTATTTTTTTTGCAGTCGGATGCATTTGTTTACCGGGAATTTTTATGCCAATAGGTGCCAGAGCTTTATCTTCTTAAAATGAGCCTCATATATGTGTCATTATGAAATGATGATTCTAGAGGCCCGTTTTTGTCCGTTTGGTTAGATGGCTAATAACATATTGCCGTTTCCAACGTCGTTTTGCTTGAGGAAATTTCGTTAATAGAGGGGGACTGAAGGGGAAGGGGGTTGGGAGAGAAGAAGCTGCATGAAGTGGTGAGATCGGTCGGTTCGGGGAACCTACGCTAAACGGGAGTGGCAGGAAGCTGCTGGACTTCTGCGCTGCAATCGTCTAAGCATCACCCACACCTTCCTTTAGCACAAGGATATCCACAAGTTTACCTGGCACAGGGGTCACACAATACCTCGGCTTTTCCAAGCTATTTTCATGACACTTTCGCCGTATCTTCACGTACATAGAAGTACTGTATATGACCATCCCTCTAAGTGATGCTCAAAATATTAATAAAGTTCATTTGTTGGACTAAAGTCACGTTACCAGCCGTTCCTGAAGAGAAGTCAGATTTTTAGAATGGACGATGGGTAATGAAGGCAGTGGGATGGAGAAATCACTCAAGCAATGTCAAACTCCTTTTCCATTTAAATTCTTTCTTTAGACTGACCGTTTCTTGAAGAATTCCATGAACTTATTCCCAAGAAAAAGCAGATGAATCAAAGAATATTGAATGAAGTCATGCAAGTACCATTTTTCTAACGTCAGGCTTATGCCTGACATTATCCAACGGGCTGTGCTCGGGTCAGGCCTTGGCTTTTTGTTCAAAACAAACTCAGTCCTTTGCTTACAGGACGAATAAGGCACACGTGGATCAATCACCGGGTCTTCCAGACACTTCGTTGAGGACGTTTAACGTCAGGCCGATCGCAAGCCCATTCAGAGTTTCAGACTATTCAGAGTTTCGGACTATTTCTGTTACACTTGTTTTGTGTAACCATTTCAGTGCGGACGTGTAACGTTTCGCCTATCCCAGGACTTCCCAACCCAGGGGTCGCGACCCCATTTGGGGTCACCAAGATCATATTTGGGATCGCGAACTGGCAATTAAATGCCAAGTAATGTTTTTCTTTGCGATTTTAGTGCACAAGTGGCCTGTTCTGTCAGTGCTTGGGGTCCTGATCGTAATTTTTGGGGTCGCGAGTTAAAAAGGTTGGGAGGCCCTGGCATATCCGGAGTTCTCCATCTCGACTAGGTCTGAGGAGAGAGAATGCATCCAGAAGCATAAAATGCAAGCTGGGCGCCATCCAGTCAATTCAGGGGTTGCGTTTAAGTTATCTTCGCTTCCCTTTAGGGCCGTTCCTGAGTGTCTGACTGCGAGGCAGTGCCAAGATGAAATCATTTGGCGGCAATTTCAGCAAGCTCTTGAGATGTTTCATCGATGTGGGTTACTGGGAAGCTTACCATGCATCAACTTATGGCATGCGCCAGCCTGTTGCATGAAAGTGACATGAACTACGAGCTTGCCCAGGTGAAATATACTCGCTAAAAACACGAATGCAAAGAATGATATACAATGAAAATAGGTGCGACCAGCTGTTTGTGCACACCCTTGCGTTTCCAATGTCTATCTGCTTCCTTCACCTTTAGTAGAGGTATTGAAAAGGGCAGAAAGGTATGTCACAGAATTCCTTGTCTGCACTTGAAATGTAGCAATAGGGCCCCTCCTCTTCCATTGACGGATTGCGACAGAAGTTGTGCTTCTCGCTCTTCACGTCCTCGGGGAATCTGGGCCAAAATGCAATCTGTGATTCAAATTCATCCCATCGCTTACACGGAAGTCCTGACGAAGATTTATTTCGAGTCCCTGCGTACTCCTCTCCCTCTTTAGTCCATCTGCATTCCGTCTTGTCTGGTGGAGAGAAAAAATAATATATTGATGAATTGGGCGATATTGGACCCATTGAGGCACGTCATCCGTTATTTGATTTAATGTAAGACGCTTTCATAGGAGACTCGTACGGTACTGAGCGGGAAACACCAAACAATTCAACGAGAAAATATCCAGTACGCATTGCTTTTGAGCAAAGAACATATCTTTCGGTCCAATGGAAGGAATCAGTTATTCATTGACATTTACAGTATAATACCTTCGGGAGAAAACGTTTCCTCAGGCACGATGCGCCTCATCGCCAGTGGAAATTTAGAACCCATGAGACCAGGAAATGATAAACATTGCAAAGTTTTATTTACGTTTTCTATCTGCAATTCAACGCTGTATTACTGTCAATGTCGAGCATCTCACACGTTGGCCGACAATGCATATATTGTTTATACTATCTTCAAAACTCCCTTAAAATGTGACAGAGTATTTTTGCATCCAGTAACACTAGTGTTAAATTTCCCATTTGGAACCCTACACGACTTCATGGATTATAGTGAGCTCACTGGGGTAATTGGGGCAAAAGGGAATTTGACAGAATTCCCATTCGATGTGTGGTTCTTGGACGAAGCACCAGGGTTGGTGCCTCAACGTCGGGTTCCTGCAGAAATCCTGGTGCAACGTGGAATTGCCAAATCGGAAATGAACCTCATAAGTGGCATTCGAGTCGAAGTCCTCAGGCTTCCCATAGGGCTGAGAATCCCATCGAAGACAGGGCTTTCCGGTTTTCGTTTTCCTCGTCGTTCCAACGTATCCCTTCCCCATCGCGGTCTGCAAGCATTCTGGGTATCCTTCTGCCGGTTTACCTGTCATAATTTTCCCTGCGTAAAACTACGAAACAATTCAAACCTATGATACCTTTCACCTGTCTGAAGCGCTTCACGTTTTCTGAAGAACTGCTTTTCAGAAGATTAGATAGCGAAATATTTTCCTTTTTGGGAAACATGCTAATTTCGGAGGATACATGAGTTTAGCACATCTGCTTGCTTCTTCACTCGTGAAACGCTCACATTAGATAATGATTTCGAGAATCTGAGTTCGAATGAGCCCCAAAGCATACCCTCGACGGCGATACGCTCATACAATTGATAGCAGAAAGGGACCATGCAATGGCCCCATCTCTCGCCAGTTCCCTCTTCAGTGAAGCACCAGAGACCGTAGCCGTTTGCGTCAGGATTGCGACAATAGTTGTGACTACTGTCTATGCCTTCATCGGAGATTGTCATGATGTTCATGACTGAAAATCGCTTGTCATTTGCCCGACCCAACCAGGGCTGACACTTCCGACCGTCCGCATCAGTGTTCTTGAATCCCGCATACTCCAGGCCCATCGTAGTTAGTTGGCATTCCAGGGGCTCTGAGGGTCAACAGAAGAAATTTGCTTCATTCATATTGTCAAATAGGAGAAATTTAGTATAAAGTAATATTTTTCTTTCAATTCAACCAGATGAATTCCCCTTTCTTCTCAATTTTTGGAGTGCCCCTTCATTAGATATCTCTTGTTATATCGTATCAGGTTTTGCCCTTGAAGTATGACCATTGTAAATGTCGCGACGGGCTTCTAAAAATACCAGAGACAACTAATCATTACTTCTCCGTTAGCCTTCGTATCATTTTAGTATTCATCAGGAATCAGTCTGCTCGGAGAATGAGAATTCCTCCGCGTTGCCTAAAGTGTCCCATTTGAAACACTCGAAGAATCGCAGACCTTTGGGGCGGAGGCAGAAGGGGATGTCGCAATATTCCCAGCCGAAAGGCTCCAAAGAGACGATGCACCATGGCCGCTCAGCTCTCACAGGATTCCGGCAATAATTTTCGTCTTGTTTCATAATGATTTCAAATGCATGATTTTCAAAATCCAATGATGCAAGGTGACGTTCGTGATAAGGGCGATAAGGAAATAGGGGATTCAGCAGATCTTGCGTATGAATAATTAACGATATCGAATACCATTTCTTGCACGTTTTTCCGCTTTCCGTTTGACTGTGGGTTCCTCTATATTCCTTCCCCATTGACGTCATACGGCATTCCGGATATATGCCCGTGACCTCTGGTCCACATGTAATAATATTTTGAAGCATGTAATGGACATGAAAGCATGTAATAATATTTTAAAGAAAGCAGTCAAAATATCAAAGCTGTACTCATCTCAGTACTTTTGAGACCGATGAAGTGTAATTCGTCGTGTATCAGGAATGTCAATACCATTATTTGGTATCGCCATTCCCGAAGTCACAAGGATATTTCTTTAAGTCACGTGACTCACTCGACGAGCACCGATCCTCCGTCTCGCATGTCCTCTCGGCATCTTCCATGGCACAGAATCGCACATCGCAATACTCCCAATTCTCCTCTGAGCCTGGAACTTTGCACCAAGGACCGCCTGGCCTTCCGGTTGGGTTCCTGCAGTAGTTGTGCTCATCCGTGATGGAATCGGGGAATGCCTGTCCCTTCATCGCAAACCTTAATTCCGGACTCAGACCCTGTTCACCAAGCCACGCAAGACACGGAGAGCCATGAATGGCCTTGTTTTGTGTGCCCATGTATTCTGCTCCCTTTTGAGTCTTTTTGCATTCAGGTGCCTCTGAAAAATGAATCGGTTACCTGATATGTAGTAACTCAACCTCTCAAGAAATACTATCATGGTAACTTCCGGATGAAACAATAAACGGACCGAAATATTTTGCATGAGAGTATAATAAGGTTTCCAACGTCATTGTAGCTTCCTATTTGAATGCAAAAGCGCCGAAATTCGAGCGCAATTCTCTAAGTTGATGGTGAGTCTTAATTAGCCAGCAGCTATTTTTCCCTTATTCCCTTGGGTGTGATCTCGGTAGCGTATTTCATGAATGCGATCAAATGGCATTTCCTGCTGAATTACTCTCTTTGGTTTTTCATAGTCTTAGTTGAGTTTTGAAGGAATGGAAAGTCCACTTCTGCCGCAGGAAACGTTAGGCAGCACAGAACGTCAAGCCCACATTGGCTATGAGTGGGGAAGCGTGGGCCCACATCGCAGTGGGCTGCCCATGTAGGCCCCACATCGGTGCTAGGGCAGCAGCCAACATTTGTCATATCCCAAGATGAGCCATCTATTAATATCTCAGTTATTTGAACAGAATGCTTCCCACAAATACTACGAGATAGCGCCTATGTTGCGGTTATTTCAGTGAAATCAGGGAGTGGCTAATTTAAAACCTTAGAACTTTTCATGCTGTAGTCGATCTTCTCCCACAGAGAACTTGAGGGAAGACACTCGGATTTCTCAATTCACTTGCTTAAACAGTTAAGCAGTTCAAGGAGACTCCTATTAATCGTGGAAATGACATGGTTCAAACTGGAGGGCTTCACTCGATGGGTGAGGATGAATGGGTAATTGCCTTTTTCGATTGTGGTGGCTGCGTCTGGCTCTCCTTCAGGGGCTAGCAGATTCGGATGCGGTAAGGCATATGAGCATCCAAGAGTCTTACCAGACAGGCACTTCCGTAGCAGGAAAAGAGTAATTTGAGTAATGAATGAAATCGTCATATTGCTCAAATCTCATGCGGAAAGGGATGTCCTCAAAAGATGACAATGGGATGAAGAAACATTCTCTGGAGTACTTTCAGCCAGAGCGAGAGAGACTCGGTAAGGTCCCGGTAGGGGAACTCAATAATGATGTACAAATATAAAATTTCACCCGAAAACTCTTTCAATTGCATGAACGTCATCCAACGCGTCAGCATTGCGCGTTGACCCAACGTGAGGACGCGGAACAAGCCTACGAGGAGCCAACGTTGGGAACCAAAATTTGGCCCGCATCACAAATGTGGAATTGAGGCGTAGGCCCAAAATTGTCCCGATGTGGGTGTGCTGACGGAGATGTCTACTTGCTCTCTTACACTCACACAGTTTGAAGCCTAGGGCGATGGAGGCATGGAAGCAGAAGGTACAAAAAATTCATCGCATGGCACGATAGGGAATTTCCGAAGGAAATCATGAATTCCGAAGCGCAAATTTATTTTACCGCAGAATATTATATATGCTCTTCTTTGATGAACATACTTGAGAATGAGACAGGTACTCACTCAGATCATCACAAAAGGGAATCCAGCAATATTCCCACGTGAAGCCGCCATCATTCACGAAACACCAGGGCATATCGTTCCTCGATGGATTCCGGCAGAAATTCTCGTGGCTGGACGGGTCCTGGTTCAGGAAATGTTCTTCGAAGAACATGCCTTCATAGAATCCTTTCCCAACTGTTTTGTATGACGATTTCACATCCGGAGAATCCCATCTGAGGCAGGGTTTTCCGTTCTTCGTCACGTTCACGGTCCCAATGTATTCCTTTCCCATCTCCGTCAGTCGGCATTCGGGATAAACTAGCTCATCTATGAGTCCACATATGGATCGCTAAGTTTTAGGTAAACATGACTGAGCATAGGGAGTGAAAAGAAAGTGAGAGTGAAAAAAGTGGGGAAAAACTAAATGGATTTAGCCATGCGACTTAACGTTCTCCTGCGAAACATGCAGTTACTGCAGGGATTGGGAGGTTGGAGTATAAATGTTTTTCACATGACTGGAAAATATTGTACCACGATTGAAGTCCTGATTCAGTCCTGATTCAGCCTGATTCATACAGGAATGGGTAGAAATACATAGTTATTCAGTTGGTGGCACGAACGTGTTAAATCAGGTCAACGTGCAAAGACAAGTGTGCGCAAATTATCTTTCAACATGAAATCTAGAATTAAATTCGCTTTGAAGGAATGTTATTGTAGAGGTGATAGAGTTGTCCTTGTTAATTCAAACTTGATACGTTTACATGCTCATGTTTGTTTTAGACAGCCAAGGAATATTTTCCAGATTTGTTTTGAAAAATTGTGCAATCGCTGAAACACTTGAAAATACTAACACACATGATGAGAAACCCACATTTGTCCCACATCTAATTTGTAACTACCTGAATTCTGACTTTCCCCTACCGAACGATTATTCTTTTTTCAATAATTCAGATTCACTTTCCGAAAAAGTAATACATAACCAACTCCACCCCAGTAGCACCAGATATTGGCTCAATGCTGGACCGACATTGAGTATGTTCCCCAGTAGCACTAGATATTGGCCCAATGTTGGACCGACATTGAGTATGTTCCCCAGTAGCACTAGATATTGGCCCAATGTTGGACCGACATTGGGTACGTCTGCTAGATCTTGGGCAATATTGCCAATATTGGGTGAATGTTGGGGAAACAATGAAATTCCGATATTGCTATATCATTATTCACTCAATATTGGACCGATGCGGCGATCCAATGTACCCGACCGCATTTGAAGTCATCCTTCAGGGCACTAGATGGAGGAATAGGTCTCGCTTTTCTCACAGTACACAGAAGTACCCTTCCCTCTTTCCCTTTAATTGTCCATCACAGGGGTGTTTAGTACCTCGCAATATGTCCCGCCTAGTCTCATTATAGCAATCAATAAAGTCGGACAATTCATCATTTGTTATCCGCATATTCGAGACAGAATCATGGAGTCCAGGAAATAGTCAAGCTCATATTCCTTATGAGAGACCCTACGAACACGGTTTCATTCACTGAAACTTCCCTTCGCGCACCCCCACTAACTCTCAGCTCTTACTTTCGCACGCGCACACTTGATGAGGCCCTTCCGGCCAGCTGGATCCGCAAGCGCCTTGTGATCTTTGGGGCATCTGTCCTTAACCCTTCCGATAGGATGTAAGTATAATATCGACTTAAATAAAATGACACCTTACTGACTTACGAAGTAAAGAAGCTAGGACCCTATTCATTTCGTTCTTCTTCGGCTCAGGTGGACCTAAATACTAAGTGCCCCAAAACACTGATACTAACCTAAATAAATTTAGGTTGCCTTCTCAATAAGGCCGCATAGTTCCTTACTCTTTAATTAAACCCCTAAAGATAAAAACCCTCAAGGGAGAGATCCTGGGGGAGGAGCTGCTCTCTCTCGGGTTGACTTCTCCCCCATAGCCATGAGTCACCTTCTCAGGGTATGACATTACCTTCATGAGGGTCTTGCTCTATGCCAGCCCTCATGTTGGGAGGATCTCACCATGGTGGGCGAGAGTCATGTGTCGGTCCATCACATGACAGCGGGGCCCACCATACCTTTAGCTCCTAACTTTATATTTAAAAAAAACCTTTTTATTTAAGAGATCCATGGTTGGCGTCCACTCCCAGGCAATAATTGAGATCCTCACTCCTACTGCCGGGGCCCATTATTCCGGCAGCGCGAAATTGTCTTTGTCAAGGCAATCCTCAGGATTTCTGAACTGTCTTTCTTAAGACATTCCCATTATTGACTAATTCTCATTCTCTCTTCTGACTCCAACTTCTAGCCTCTTCTTTCTGTTCGCCAGACTATCTCCCTAAATCTTCCCCCCCTCTCACTTGGCACAGAATGCTTGGTAAGAGGAAGACTCGTAAGAATCGGTCCCCGCCCTCCTCCCCCTCACTACAACCCCCCGTGCCTACACCCCCTCGACCGAAACGTCAATCCTCTCCATCTTCCCATGCCAACTCTAAACCTGCATCCTTAGCCTCCGAATCCGTCCGCTCCCTCAAAAGTGCTCCTAATCCGAACGCAGCTCTCCGTCTCTCCCCTTCCCACTCGCACACCCAAACGTCCACGCCTGCAAATTCCTCCCTGCACAGTAGCAATTCACCAGTCCCCCCAACTCAACCTCAGACAGCCACTAACTGATCTTTTTTTCAAAACCCCCTTTTTGTGAATTCTCTCCCCCCGAAACAACAGAAGTGGATAGCATTAGTTTGCGCCTTTATGAGCGCCTTCCCTAAGGTCCAGTTGCTCGACATCAAGCAAATTCGCTCCGCAGGCTTTGTCCTCAGCCTTGCGAAACCTTCGGACATTGGTCGCGTCGCCAGCAAATGGCCCGAATCAGGGATCGGCGGAGAAGCCTTCCCTGCGCGAGCTAGGACCCCGCTTTGCAAATTCGTCATTAGAGGCGTGGACCTCCAAGAAGACACGAGCGTCACTAGAGACGTTCTCCCCCTCGAATATGGAATTTCCTTCATAAGGAACGGAATTCACCAGAATGCGTAAAACCAAAACAGACGCGCTTCTCCCGCTTCTCCTGATCAAGGCAATAGACTCCCCCAATGCGCGAAATCTCGTAAAGGAAGGCCCCATGAAAATCGGCTGTCTGCGACTACAGGTTGAAGAGTTCGTCTTCCAACCACGTATCATTCAATGTTTAAAAAACAAAACGAGGCATATTGGTGTAAATTTTGTGACCAGATTAACACCGAAAAGAATCCAGCTAACTTGTGGAAGCTCTTTAAAAGAATCGGGAATCCTCCAAACAATCTAAGTAAACCCATTAAATATGCAGGTAAGACCCACTGCAGTGACGACAGCAAAGCCTCAGTACTTGCCGCCATCCTGCTGGAGCTATGACAGAGCCGCCAGCTCCCTGGGGCCGATTCTTCTCAAAGGAAGCCTCGATCTCCAGAACAAATAACTAAATTCTCCCTATCCAAACCCTCTCTTCTTCCTGAAAGTCTCTCTCCCGATCAGGAAGCACTACTTAAAGAAATCACCATAGAAGAGGTCAAGGCCGCGATTAAAATATCTCCCAATAAAGCTCCTTGTCGAGATAACATCGTAGCTTCTCTCAAACACCTTCCAGAAAAAGCTCTCCAGCTCCTTCATCTAACATTTAACGCCTGTCTTAATCTCTGTCACGTCTCCCCGCATGGAAGTCTGCTAACGTAACTATGATACCCAAACCCGATAAAGATCCCTCTTCCTACCGCCCCATCTGTCTTCTCAGCTCTCTTCAAAAACTTCTGGAGATAATTCTAACCGCTCCACTATCTAACTATCTGGAATCTCTAAACCTTCTCACCCCTTGTCAACCAGGCTTTCGACCTAATTTAAGCACCACCGATCAGCTCGTTCGGCTCCACCACGACGCGCTCGAGGCTGTCAACAATAAAAAAACATCTCTTAGCTCTCTTCTTTGACATTACCAAAGCATTTGATAAGGTATGGCACGCAGGGCTAATCTATCCAGACTAATCAAAACTTCACTTTCTTTTTAAAATCCCCCTGTGATTCTTGCGCTGGATAGGCTCATATCTGTCCGAGAGAACCTTAAGGGTCAAGGTCGGCAACTCCTTTTCTGAATCCTTTTCCCCAACAGCGGGAGTCCCTCAAGGATCTGTGATCACTCTGCTTCTCTTCATCCTCTACGTTAACGACCTATCCTCCTCCTTACCTCGTAAACTTGACATCCACATATGCCAGTATGGAGACGACTCCGCCCTATGGATCTCCGGCAGGGAGGTCGCCGTCCTCGAGAAAAGGGCCCAGGCTGCTGTCTCCTCTTTTTAAGTATTGTCGCGTTTGGCGCATCGATATCAACCCCTCCAAATCCTTTCTCCTTCTCTTCGCTCGAGAAAGTAAACCCTACAGTGTCAACATTCGCATGAACAGGAAACTCATCCCTCAGTCTCGCTCTACCCGTTCTCTTGGAAAACATTTCTCCAGCAATTTTAGATGGAATAATCATGTCGATGTAATCCACGTCAAAGCTACTAGGAAACGTAACTGCCAAAAAATCCTCTCTGGAGCCAATATGTGCGAACCCCATCTAATCCCTAAATTCTATTGCACCTTCCTTCACCCTGTACTAACATACGCCTTTGCAGCCTGGGCTAACTGCCCCAGTTATATATTATTATATCTTTCGAAATTGCGGACTAACACCTATTCCTCAACACGCCTCTGACCTAGCACATAACTACTTCAACAACCTTAAAAGGCCAGGAGACATTAAGGAAATACCCTCAAAACTGAATAAAAAGTTACCATTGGGCGCTTTAAACATAGAAAATCCAATCCTTTCCATAAAATTCTTGAACACCTCGGGAAGATTTACACTTTAACTCCGCCCTGCCCCCCTTCCCAGCCTCTCCCCTCCACGTGAGACTACCCTTTCTCACAACTCACCTTCCGTAACCCAACGCCCTCATCATCTCTTATCAGCACCCACTCCTCTTTCTCTCTACCTCTCTCTCATTAAAATGAAAAAAAAAATCCAGACACCCTGGCTTCTTCACATTCACAGCAGCGGCCACCTCCCCCCTTGCACAAGATTTTCCAATCTCTTTGGCATGTACCCTCAAAATTCCCTTCGCGCACCCCACTAACTCGTAGCTCTCAGCTCTTACTTTTGCACGCGGACACCTGATGAGGCCTTTCCGGCCAGCTGGGTCCGCAAACGCCTTTTGATCTTCTTTTGATCTTCGGGACATCTGTCCTTAACCCTTCCTATAGGAAGTAAATATAATATCGACTTGAATAAAATCACACCTCACTGACTCATGAAGTAAAAGGGCTGGGCTGGGCTATAAATCTCACTCCTCTCCGGCTCATGAGGACCTAAACACTAGTGCCCCAAAGTACTGCTGTTATCATAAATAAATTCAGATTGATTTCTCAATAAGGTTGCATAGTTCCTTACTCTTTAATTAAACTCCTAAAGATAACAAAACTCAAGGGAGAGATCCTGGGGAAGCAGCTCTCTCTCAGGCTGATTTCTCCCCCATAGCCATGAGTCAACTTCTCAGGGCTGTCATTAGCTTCATGATGGTCTTGCTCTCTGCCAGCCCTCATGATGGGAGGATCTCATCATGGTGGGCGAGAGTCATATTTCGGTCCACCACATGACAGCGGGGCCCACTATACCTTTAGTTCCTAACTTTATATTTAAAAAACAAGGTGACCTTATCCGAAAAGAGCATTAAAACATGGAAATATCCGCGGGCGGAATCATCCGTTTCCACATCCTGAGGACATTATGAGGAAACGAGGAAATGAATTAGCAGCTACTCCGTAGAACAATAAGGACTGGACCTTCTCCTGAAATGTACTATAATTGGTATATTCAGGGGGAAATCAGCCTCTGTACTATTCTGTCTCCTGATTATCCATGTGACAGACATGTGCTTGGGCAGGGGGTTGAACTGCTACAGTCCGTACTAGTACTGCAAATAGAAATCCCTTCACCATGGGAATACCACCACGGGATAAAGAATTTAGAGGAAATATGAACGCCAATATTGGCCCAACAAGGGACCCGGTAGTAATCTCAATAATGGTCCAAGATGGGTGCCAATGTTGAGCCAAGATGTATATTCCTTGGCAGCCGATATTGATCCAATATTGGAGTGCTACTGGGGGTATCCCAGTGGTGACGCGGTAACGTTATGGCGACGTGCCCCAATGCGTCGGTGGAAAATATTGTAGCCGTAAGACGCATGTAGCCGAATGGGTTCGATGCAAACGATTATTAAAGTTCAAAATGTATGAGACAAAACGAAGAGGAAAACGGTTATAATACAATCTAATAGAATTCGTAATTCATATTCAACCAAAAAACAGTTCTAGTCCATTGGGGTCCTAAAGCTTGAGAGTATCGAGGAAAAATGACCATTTCGGGAACGAGAGTTCTTTCGTTCTTCGACACTGAAATCTAAATTTTGACACTGAAATGTCGACTGAAATTTTTTATTTCAACAATGCAGGATCTTTCTTAGAGCTCTGTAAAGTTTGGTCTATGCATTTTTTTAGCATGCGCAAAAATAAAATCCTCCGTTTCGTTTCGTCCCTGTGCGTTGGATTTTCATTTGGGAAGGACTCCGCCTTGCACAACTCTGGCTGAGGAAATATTGCTTCATCAGAAATAACAATTGCAACTCGATAATTTTGGTATTGCCGTCTTAAAATAATCTGGACATGTAAAGGCTATCCATTACTGCAATTTGTGCGAATCAATTAAAGTAAAGGCAACAATTTGTGGACAGGTTAAGGAAGTTTTCCTCTTAAAGATGTCACTAAGGTAGCTGGGGAAACCGAGAAACCGGTTGATTGGTTTCAATGTGAGGCCACTTATCATAGTTTGATGCCCATACCATGAAATAAAATATATAAAAAATACTTTTCAACAATAGCTGTTTAAATGGATATGTGTTGTTTTCCATGTGGTTCCTATTTGAGAACAGCCTAGTTCTAGTTTGTGGACATCAGCTTTTGTAAACAATTATGAACGTGCGTAGGCTGAATGGAAAAATATGGCCATGAGATATGTACAGCAGTTTTATTCATCTTCAGTGATGTCCTGTTTAAAAATATAATTGGAAAAATTAAAGAAATCAGGGGTGCTGCGTCTGAAATTAAGCGAAAATGTCCAAGTTCGCTCATGCTGATGGGTATGCATAATTTACATGGTGGCTGACAGGCATATGCAAAATATGGAGGACGTGAGGAAATAAATTTTCAACGTGAATTTTGTGAAATGACAAAAAACGCAAAACTGTCCATAAACTGGTGCCTCTACCCTATATGATATTCAATGGTGAACTTTTTTCAACGTCGACAGTTATATTTTGCGAGTGAGATGATATTCCCTCAGAAATCAAAACAATATCAACAATCATGGAGTGCTGAGTTATTCAAGTGATAGGCTTGATGTTCTCAGAGAATCGAGGGAAGAACTCCAAACGTGGGAATTTGTGAAATGACATACCTCGGCATCTAATTTCCTCCCCGTGAAAGGAGGTCTTCCAAGCGTCATCGGGCTGAAACGAACAGGTGGCTTCATGCGTGGGCAATCCATCGGTGAACCGCATGGAACGATGGCAGGTATAGATGACTTTGGCGCCTGGAGGCGCTGGGTACTTCCCGTCCCATCCATCGTATGCCATGACCGCGTTTTCCATCTTGGGATGTTCGGTCACGCACGATACTGAAAATTGCCTTGATGGAATGTAATTTACACCGGCACACTAGCTCTCATCTTCCTGACGGGTCTGTTATATTATGGTTCCTATTTCACTCATTAAATTGTCATTCCGGTCTTTAGATCCCTCAAGTGAAACTCTAATCATACAGATCATGCAACTCCTGTTTCCATAGTCTCCATTGCCGTGAGATGAAGTTAGATATGGGACTTTTCGCCTCGTGAAACTCCTAACATGAGACAAATACAGGGTGGGCCTAAAACTTCGGACAATTTTCAACGATATACTATAATTCACTCTATGCATATACTTTAATGCGGTTTGCGGCATTTGAAAGTGGAATGGCTGAGCTTTAACATCGTGTACCTACTTTTCACATATTATCAACACTTAAAAAATGCTGAAGCTCATATGAACTACAAACAAAACTGCATTGTTTTTGTAGCAGTGGGGATGGACAGGCGGCGGTAAACGTCACATGCCGTCCAATGACGAGTACGCAGTTTTTGTGTGTTGGTCATTAGAGCTCCTGAATTTTTAAAACGTTTGAATATATTTAAAATATAAGTAAACCATTGTAAAGCTTTTACATTTCTCTTTCAAATGCCGCAAACTGCATTAAAATATATGCAGTCAGTGAAGTGTATGGGATCGTAGAAATTGTCCGTTTTTTTGGCCCACCCTGTGTAATACTAATATGTCCTATCCAAAATTTTACTAGTGTGTCATTGAACTAAATGCATGACTTTCCCAACTCTATCCATGGACCTTAGAGATGGAAGTGAATGAATGTGTCTCCAACAAATTAGGGAAAGTATTTAGAGCAAAAGACTTCTCATAGTTTCAAGTAGAATTCGTCGCATTCCAGCAGTTCAAGCGGACTTTGATGTGAGCGTAGTCCCATTCGACTACTGAAAAAAGCCATGGACTAGATGGATGGAGAGGCAGGGAATGGTGGAGCCATGTAGATTTCATCATGGGGAATTGAGGACATTGTGTCAACATGGGCTCGACCTCTGCAATAGACTTCGCCTCAGCACTTAGCCATTATCAATGAAGCGCTGATATGAAAACCTGAAATGACCACTTAGTTGATTATCTTTACTTTCAGGGCTCTACTTCCCCAACGGTTATGTTTCCAAAACACATGGCTTTCGAGAAGGCCCTCATCTTGTCATTATTTCAGGGCAAAGTACGAAAGATTTCACGAATTTCGAGAAATGTGTCCCGTGTGCCGCCAAAGTCGGAATTTTTCTGGAGTCAGTAATTTAACAGGCTGCTCGTGTAGCGAGTTTCATCCTCTCATCATATCTAAAATATAGTCAGATTTAGCTTCAGTCAGTGTGTCGTTCAGTCATTATCGTTTGTATATATTAGATTTTCCTTTGATTCTGGAGACTGTTGCTGTCTAACTCGACTGAGGTCAAAGAGCATGCTCACGTGGATGTGGACAGAGATCCTTTTCGCCTTCGGTGAACGTCGTGCACCAGACATCAGCTACAGCCGACGAACAAGTGGCATGGTGCTCCTTCAAACCATCCTTGAACCCTCGCGGGTGAATGCAGGCGAATTTCACCTTCCCACCGCGTGGGGCTGGATGCTCACCTGTCCAATCTACGAAGGATTCCTTCGCGTGCTCGATCCTCGGGTAGTCCGTCAAGCACTGGACTGCATTTTGATAAATTTGCGACAAGAACACTTGATAAAGAACATATGCGTGATTTGTGCAACTGCTCATTCCTCGCTTTGCTCAAGTTTTTGCCGAATGTTTGCAAAATATAGCACTATGCATATTTTATTAAATGAACAAAAACCTTCCCTATTGCACGCATTCCTCTTGATTTTTTTCACGTAATAAGCAAGTTGAATTCCGAGGAGGGAGTCGTACGCATTCAAATGCAGTCATATCCCTTGTCCTACTGCAGCGATAATATTGTGAATAGGAAGAAGCTGTCTGGCAATCAATTTTTTCTCATTCACTTTTTTGCATTTGCAACAGCACGAGTTCCTCGTCGACCTTGTATACCTTGACATTATGTATATAAAATAAAATAAGGCATCGCATGAAAACCTATAGATAGAACTACTACAAGCAGAGAAACAGCAAATACACACGTCGTTCTGGTTAATAAATTATCTGATCAAGAAGAGAGCCATGGAATGGAGACTCGGACCCATGATAGTTGCTTTGAATCGTCCGCGTCGCAGGCAGGTGAAAGATACCCGTGCATGAAGGCCCGAACGAAAAGGGCAAGACGCTACTATAGTCCATTCACACTTTAAGAAGAGCTAGTCGGCAAACCAGGTCGACAGTGGCGATCCCTCGGGCATATTAAGTCGTTAATTAATTAGGAGATTTCTGGTAATTTTTCTTTTCATGTCCGAATGGGGGTCATAAACCACTGCTCGAGGACTCATGTCATACCAATGAGAAAAGTCAAACTTGCCAGAAACGAAGAGAATGCTTCATGCAGGAAAATTCAATTTTACTGGAGCATGTTGCGCCGATGATCCCGAACCTGACAAGATAACTTGAAAAATGTTAAAGTACGTCCACGGACACTACATTGCACATCCTCCCTCTCCCGTACCATAGGTCAGTGTGGAGACAAGAGAGAATATCCCTATTTGGTATCTCGGAAATGTCACCCAACAGAGCAGTCTGAGAAGGTGTTAATTGCATGTCCTCTATCCCTTCAGTCATTCATTATTCCCAGCAATCGGTCTCTGAGAGATATGAAAGTTCCTCTTCTCTAAGCGAATGGACTATACGGACCTCGTGCACGTGCGTCTGTCTGCTTCTCACCTCCTTGCCTGCTTTGTTGCCATCGAAAACTTTCACTCTACTCGCGCACCGTCTAGAGGGATTTTTGACGCCGTAGCGGCCTGTGATCCATAACCTTAATACAGTATCTATCAATACATCCTGATCTACCTCTCTCAGTGGGGGAGCCCTACATCAGAAGCGTGCTCAGACGATTTCAACGAGAGGGGTGGTTGGGGGTGGCCATTTGAAAAAATGGTATACATTGCATTTTTTGCCAAATTAATATTTTTTAGAATCGATAAACTGTAAAATGTATATCAAGGGAGGGGGAGGGGGTTAGGTGTCATAACCGCCTCCCTTGGGCTCGCCCCTGCCTCACATAACTTCCCTATTCAAGAAAGAAAATTTCAAATAATACTGGTTTGAAGCTCATTTTCTTATGCCAAGGGAATTCTCCGTTCGTGTATTTCGTTTCCATAATATGTGAAAATGGGAAGAACGATGTTCCCAAGTTTGAAAACATTCTCTATTAGACTTCCACGGAATCTGCATTTCATGGTAAAGTCATCGTCTCCATAGACTTTTATACCAATATTTCCACTCACATTGTACATATGCCTGGTACCCATCCGAGGGAACGAGACCGCTCTTTCCGTTATGAATCAGCTGACAGAATCCATCCCGTTCCCTGAAGTTGAAAGCCAGGCAAGGCCCGGACGGGTTCATCCCCAAACACTTTTTATAGCAGTCTTCGAAGTTGTTCTCTTGGGACTGATGCGACACGTTCCCGTATCTTCGCCCTTGGTGCACGGCATAATGCACGATGATCGAGGATGATCCAGCCCAAAAGAGACATGAAATCAAAACCGGAGTGAAGAAGTCGACCATCCCTCTGCCTGGGTAAGGAAAAGAAAGCTTAGTGAATAGCATCGAAAAGATGCAATTGAATTCAATTATTCACTCATTAAAGCGCTAGTGAAATATTTTTGGTGCCAGCAACTGAGGTACTTAATCCATCTCACATATTCCAGGAATCTAACCCTTAGAGTGTCCGTAAAGTCAGGAATCAATGGAAATTTATTATTCATCAATAATCTTTGGTAGCGCCTATTACCTTCCTTCAACTCCATCCGCCGTAAAATTCAACCTCCTCGTATTCCTCTCTGAGAGCATCAACAGGAACAAAATTTTGGCATAAATCTTCCACTTTCACCACATAATCGTTCCAGCAAATTTGAGGCTTCCCGGGATGTGGTGAACACTGAATCTCCTTTTGGAGTATGTGAGTTTCATTACTTTTTTTTCTCTCCCCTAGTGTCTCTGAGATACGCCCTTGAAAGTTTAAAAGGCTAAATACATAAATTTTAAATTTATTAAGTTAAATAAATTTTAAATAAATTTAAAATAAAATTTAAATTTCCATATTCCACTGAGTTACACCATAAATCAAATTCGCGGCAGAAGACAAAAAAATATCTTAATTTTCAACACCACATAGTGGGAAAATACGAAATGAATTTCATGGCTTGTCTTTGGATGTCTTTTCTATTCCATTGGACAAAGGATGATGCAGGTATAACAACAATATTCTATACATTTGTTGAAGCGCTACCCGAATATCCAACGTTCGTTGTTGCGTCGATGGCACTCTAGTTGGATGCTTCCAAAACTTGTCGTTCGGGTTGGCGACCACAATGACAACTGTTGTGTGATTGTATGGCTTACTAGCAAACTCTCCTTTTATGGTTATTTCTTCTCTGAACGCTGCGAATGAAAGCCCTCTCCGTAATGAATGAAAGTCGAGCCAATGTGCTCTTTCTGAGCGCCACGTTCTCTTGTGGACTAGTGAACTAGTCTCAGTAATTAAACCTAAGCGCTCCCTTCAAGTTATTAAAAAACAGAACTAACAAGTAGTTGTAAAGATATGCTCTTACTTGTAGACTTCTTGACTTCTGAACGTGCAAGCTTTGAGAAATAGGCCCCAGGTCGTTGAGACTGTTCACAGAAGCACTATGGTTTCATCGGGAATGAGGGTACTACCCACGTACTACTCACTCTTCTCCGATTGCTACAAGCAGCTGCGCCGAATCCAGATTTGCCACGTGTTCAAGTTTACGACGCACACGTATTTGAAATTACTCATAGATTTTTTTATTTCTACAGCACGTTGCATGAAACGTGGTTCAGCATATCATAAAAGTCGAGAAACTTTATTTTGCGGCAATGGCAACTCCAAACCCATGGAAATTCTGCCACTTGGATGGTTCCATTTCAAATCAGGCAGGTCCATAGTTTTCGTGATAGGTCTTCCATTTTCTTAAGAAGAATATCTGTGGTCTTCCCATACAAGCAACGAAGTATGGTAGCTCATTTACATCTGTATCTTCAATAGTTTCAGAGAAAAAAATTCATTAAAGGAGGGCTCTAAAATTGATATTCTCCCCCACTTTCAATTTCCTGTATCTTCTAAACTAATGGACATATATTTCTGAAAATAATGCACCCGTTACTTAAATGTACGTACTGTGTACTCATATATATATATATGACCCCAGTTATTATTTTATTAATAGGTATTTTTTATTTTGAAGATCAACAAAACTGCTGAATTTTGTATTTTTGGCTATTTCATTCGTCCGTTAAATGTGTATCCCATCTTGAATCAAATATACAAGGGGTGTTCCAAAAGTTTCCGGAGTGATTTTCTAAAATAAATACCTACTGTGTCGAATGAGTAGAAACTTCGCAGGTATATTCTTCAACATCTCCCCTACCTTTCAAAGTACTCGCCCTGTTGATCCAAGCACTTTTGGCACCGGGAGGGCAAAGAATATATTCCCTGTTTGTAGAAGTCGGGCTGCTGCTGTCGGAGCCAGCTTGTTCCTGCGTCCTTGAGGTCCCCTCCTTCCTTGAAATGAAATCCCTGTAGGTGATTTTTGAGGCATCCAAAGAGGTGATAGTCTGAGGGAGCAAAATCAGGGCTGTAGGGCGGATGTGGAACAACATCCAACATCCATGTGCAGCCGGGCGTTGTCATGAAGAAGCAAGAGTTTCTTCCCGCGCAATGCTGGCCTCTTCTTCGAAACTGCCTTTTTGAGTTTCTTCAGAGTCTCGCAGTATCGCTGAGCATTTATGGTTGCATTGGGCTCCAATAAATCGATGAGCAATGTCCCTTTATGGTCCCAGAAAACCGTCACCATCATCTTCTTGACAGCGGCCTGCGACTTGAACTTTTTTGGCTTAGGCGATGATGTGTGGCGCCACTCTCTTGACTGTTATTTTGTCTCAGGAAGGAAAAGTGGCAGCCACGTTTTGTTTCCAGTGATGATTGAGTTCATAAAAGAAACGCCATTCTTGGCATGTTTCTGCAGCAAGTCCTGGTACACATCGACATGTCTCTGTTTCTGCTCCAGCGTCATGTTTCTTGGAATCCATTTGAATGTAATTTTGCGATAGCCCAATTGTCCAAGCATTTCGACAAAAGTGTTGTGGCATATCTCAAGATCAGCAGCAATTTCACGCTCTGCGACGCGTCTGTCAGCCTTCACCAGTTCATGCAAGCGGGCCGTGTTCTCCTCAGTCACTGCAACCGACTGCCGCCCACTGCGATTCGCGTCTTTAACGGTCACCTGTCCTTTACGTTTTTTAATCCAATCAAAAACTTGTGTCCTACATAGGGTTTCCGGCCCAAACACTTTTTCCAACCGCCGATGCATTTCCATCCCGCTAGCACCTTTTAAAGAAATATTTTCCGAAACTTTTGGAACGCCCCTCGTACATTCCTAAACTACATTCATTAATGTATCTCTTGGCATTTGCATAATTTATGTCTAATTTGATACTAATTTTGTGATTTTCCCAAGAATTGGTGAGAAAGAAAATTCATTTGTCAAAAACCCCATCATTGATTTGTATCATTTTTTTGCACATTGATGCTAGAAGGCACGGGTTACTGCGTGATTAAAGATTCTTCCTCCTTTTGCCTAGTTACGTAATTATTGATTTTTAAACATGCATGTTTTCCGACGATGCTAGGAGAGAAAATGGTCGCGCAGTCATGATTAATTTGTAGTCTCATGTGTGCAGCGTTCTAAACATTACTGTCATTTGATGATGAATTCAATTAGATGATGTTCTCATCCTACATCGATGTATCGATCAAATCGCATAACACGTGAAAAATTCTTAGTTATCGTTTTCATATGAAAATGATAATTTTCATGTTCAGCCCTGCTAACTAAAGTACAGTAGATGATATACAGGGTGATTCAAAAGGCACTTACATTTTTTGACGTCGTATATGGTATCAATCGATTTGTCTGCGATTGTCAGTCTCTTCCCGACTGGGGGGGGGGGGGGTTCGATTGGCCTCGCATCGCTTAGGCATCGCTTAGATAATGCACTAAAAGCTGACAACAGCCTGGAAAACCAGTGTCGACTCCCAATTGTTGGAGAACGTGCTTTATGTTTCCAAACACCACCCGAGACCGTTTCAAGTATCTAATCTACAATCGTTTTCAGTATTTAATTATTATCCTTAATATATCCCACTCAGTTTACTTTCCGTGAGCCTTTAGCGTTGCAGCAACTCTCCTGGGCATGCTCTCAATCGTTTTGACACATTCTGTTTCTTGATGTTTCATCTGATCTGGACTTGTGACCACGACTCGCTCGTTGGCCTAGGCCTTGTCTCGCGCATTCAGGCGCCCCTTCATACGATAACAAAAGTAATTTTTGGGATTGTTGTATGGGATTGCGATAGGCAAGCTTGTGTCTATTCCAAGATGAGAAGCATAACTACCTGAAATGGGTATTAAGTTTCAGATACCATACGTAGCTGGAGAGTTACGGCAGTACAAATTCAAAAGTAGGAAACAGGGCAGTTCATGTCATAACTGTAATTGCTTTACACCAGGACTTCGTTGCTATGTGTAACAAAGCAGTTGCCAGGCAGAACGCAGCCAGACATTATTCATAAAAATGTCAGATTTACAGGGCATATGTTCACAAACAAAAGTTCTATTACTTTCTGGAGATGGATTATGGATGAATTGACGTCATTTCATGGAATAATGAATGTACAGGACCATACGTTTTTGCCTTGTGCATTCGGCACAAAACATTCTGGGAATGCTGAGGAGAAATGCAAATCACTACTCTGGGATCGCTGAGAGGTTTTCACTGATAGCATTGCTCTAAAGAATGAAATGAAATACCGAGCGTGGCATCATTTCCGGCGCACTTTAGCGACTGTTTATGTTCAAAAGGTTTCGCAAATTTTTACATTATTTTTAGGATCATAATTTCGCTATAGAATCAACTTTGACGTCTAACGTCTTCGTAGTTTCATGCACATGCCCAAGCACGGTATATCACAGTAAACTTTTGCTACTTGTAGAAATTCAATGAAAGAAACGACCGCTTTTCCTTTGATGCATTCTTGACTGTTCTGCCGTCCCGAATTGAAATTATTTAGTAGTCCATGCATTTTTTTTTAGTGGGGATGCTTGCGGCGATTCGAGCCGGGTCGTCGGTCGAATCGGAGAAAGGTCGGAGAAAGTGAGAACTTTTGAGGTCACCCGACGACAGCTTTGACCGGGGACGACAACATCCCGCTTTCTCTGCGGTCGATAGCGAAAGCGCAGCCAGATCTGAAGGAATCTGCGAGCGGACTCCCGTGCCTTATGCCGTCCGTAGTTTGCTGTGCACGTGGGAGCCTTCGTCCCCCGCCCGAGCCGACTTCAACATGGTGCATGCATAATTATGTGGGAAAGAGAAGTGTAGAGGGTGACCACTAAGTTCTGCAACACACGTCATCTTCCCTGTCATTTCAATCAAAACACCTGATTGTTTGCGTGAGGATCGCCGCCATTATGTTGCATTTGCGGGCAAAATTTCAGCCTTCTGCGACTCAACCCCGCGATGAAACCAATGAGAGAAGCCATTATTTGGCTGTGTCAAGTTGGTAACAAGCCGGCGGACATTGAAAAACATGTCAAATGTTCCCGATCTACCGTCACCAGAGCTATTGCTCGGTTCCAGGGGCTTGACACAAGTGGAGATTGCCCTCGCAGTGGAAGGCCAAACTATCTTCAATTCCCCAGTAACCAGGAAGCGCCTCAGTTCCATCCTCCGTCGAAAGTCGCAATCATCCTACACTCTTAGAAAAAGGGGAGTGATTTTTCTCAAAAAAGAGAGTAAAATCGTTAACTCCAGTTTCACTCCCCTTTCACTCTGGGAAAGGTGCGAATTTACTCCATCACCAAGTAGGAAAATTGCTCTCCTCAGAAAGAGATAGGGATGTCATGCAAATGCACAAATTCTCGTCAATACTTTAAGTCGCTTCGTCTCGTACAGTACTGGTGTTGACATACCTCTGACTATACTAATTACAGCCGCCGTTAGAGAGTGGACCACCTCTTATGGCACCATGAGTGCCATTGATATCAGTCCCTCATTACCTCATTAAGTTGAGGTATGGTTGGAATGAAATTCACGGACACTCTCTTGGTATACTTGGCCTCCTACACGGATAAAACCTTATGCGTTCCTGACACAAGTGAAGCTAACCATCAAACTAACCATCCCTCCCACCGTGGGTGGGAGGGATGGTTAGCTCGAAAGAGGGACTACACTGTAAAAAATAAAGGTTCTAAAGTGAAACCTTTAAAGAACCATTTTCGTTGAAGAGATGATACTGATTCAGGAGCTACCACGGTTGCAGATCGTTAAAAGGGCAGAACCTGAACGCTACGACCTTGGACAGTCTGGCGATCACTCCAACTGGTAACTATTACGCGCATTAAAAACGTGAAAAACGGTTCTACTCTCTAAAATTGAAGGTGTGGATTGGAACAGTGAATCAATGAAACTTTTAAAGAACCATTTTTGGGGAATCAAGCCTTCACGAGCTGAAACTGGTTAACTCTTGGAGTTACCAGGATCTTTTTCGATCACTGAAAATCCCACTGAAAGCGTACACGCTGCTGAGGGTTCTAGTCCTAACCTAATTTTTTTTTACAGAGTATGAATCACACCTGTGATGGAATCTTTTTTCTACGTGGAAAAAAGAGAGGGAAATAAAACCATGATCTGACGTCTTGGCAAACATTAATATGTATTAATTTAACATAACCTACCCGTGAAGGAGTTTCAAATGAAGACTTAATACGTGGTATCAAATCGGGTAATATGTAGGCTCTGTATTTAAAGCATATGCCCTCAAGATATATCCTTATGTCCTTTATATCCCCGTTAAGACCCCAGGAGTCACTCTCACGAGGAGAGTGACTCCTGTGGGTGAAAGTGGTGGGATTCCATTCCATCGGAATGGGATGGAACTGGAACGCTCACCCTTCCATCGGACAGACATTGCTGGCCGCGTCGTAACGATCTCGTTTCCCAATCCGTAATTTTAATTCAGGAAGAGTGCATGAAGAGTGGTGGAGATTGACTTTATGGACGATACACACAGGGTCGCGAACGATACGGGAAAAGTGCCAATCGATACGAGGACGAGGTTCCGATTGATGAAAGGGTCGGGATCCCGGTAAATATTGGGACCGAAATCTCAAGACCGAAATCGCAGGTGGAAGTCATCCTTCCTCCAGCGGGATAAATGGGACTCGAAGGGATATACGGGGAGACCTTAACGCGTCCCCGTCGAAAAGTCCTCATCGCAGGTGCCACCAGCATGTTGGTAGGGGAGGGAGGGTGCGCAAGACGTAGAATGTCCGAGCGGCTGCTGTATAGAGCGTTGAGAGGGCCGCTGACTGAACTCGTGAATTTTCCAAAAATCCTACACTCTTAGCCTTGGCCAGGGGTGTCAAACTTGTATAAGATGGGGGCCGGATGGGACCCTTCAGGCATGGTTACGTCCACATTAGAAAATCATGCTTCAAAGTTTCAATCGCTAACAGCTTGAACATTTCAACGCTTTTCGAAAATCAACTGTTGAAGAGGACTTCGCGGGCCAGACAAAATCAACTAGCAGTTGATTTTGCAGTTCGACACCCCTGGCCTAGGGTGACCCGAAGTTCGTGGAAGTTTTCCACGTGTCAGCTGGTCTCAAATATTTATTACTGATTGCGTCGTTTCTTGGAGTTACGTTGGGTCGTTGACGAGCAGTAGACCTAGCATACTCGTATAGCTACCCAGCAGCCATGGACTCAGGGAACGAAAACAAACACGGGGAAACATGATGATGAATGACGGTGGTTCGCTAATGCCTGATTCATGCATTATTCCGCGCAACATCGACCAGCAGATACGACCATTTTTCCTCCTCGCCATGTTCTCGTTTTTCCCGGAACAAGCGATGCAAACGAGTTTTCTTTCTCCTTGATGAATGTTTTTGGCTCTGGAGCAAGTTAAAAACTGATGGAAATTCTCTGGGAATAAGTCCCGTCCCCAGAAAGACAATAAGGAGTCTTAGTTACCCGTTCTTGAGAGGACGGCACGGGATGTAGGACGGCTGACGTCACTGGTGACGTCACCAGCTGTTTTAAAACGCAGGAGGAAGACGTCTAAGATGTGCAAAGGCTTTTCCAGCCTTTCCCCCAGGAACGTTATCGCTACGCAAGACCTACCAATCAGGAACGACTTAATAGGCGCGTGAGCTTCGGGACAACGCGCGATTCCTTCAAGTCAGTCATTCAGGAAGGAAAACGTCGAAGCAACTGAAATTCAAGGTACAATATGGCCAGGTTGGGTTTCTAGCCAAATATCCTTCAGGATAGTAACTGACATGTCCTCTTCGCTATCACAGAAGTAGATGCAACCCGGACATGAACTTCGGTTACTTTGCCATGAGGGACGGGCAGAAGCATAATTAGGATTTAGGATAAGGAAGCATAATATATTGTTGTTGGGGATAGTGAATGATGGGAGAATGGGACAGAGGAACTCTGGTCGCAGTCAGTGGGTTGTCACACGGGCTTTCTTTAGACTGGTACGATTGCTATTCATATTAAACTGTCGACCATGTCTGGTAGAGGCATTATAGTAATCGTGCCCTAACATGGAGGCGCAAATAGTGAGGGATGGAAAATCAACAAATTCGTAGACCTGTTTATTGCGCGTCCATCTAGGGAAGCTGAAGGCATATTTAATTAGGGAATGCTTTATTCTGGAAAGTTGATCTAGTTGGGAATAAATTCAATGAGTCCAGGCTGCGGACGTATGTGTGATGACGGGACTTTGGTAAGCGTCAGATTCAGGATGACTTCCGAGTATACATTTATTTGTACCTGCTAGAAATATGAGGCAATTATGATTTTTGTATGCTTTCATTCTGATGATATTAATATGGCGAATGCAAGAGTCACAATTGACAATATTGATTCTCAAGAATTCTACGTTGTTGGCTCTCGGCAAAAGTTCATTATGCAACTTAAGGGCAAGTTAAAGTAGCGCTATTCCCTCCAAAAAAACACCGCTGTCTCAGACTATATCGTCTGAGAGTATGAACTCCTAACCTATCAGTTTACACTTTTCTGTGCTCGTGCAATACTGCAGCTTTTAAAATATTACGTAATCATTGATTGCCATTGAAACATGATAATTGTACCTTCAGCAAAGAATACTTTACCTACTACTTTAAGAGAAGAATACAGGGAAAGGAAGAAGAAAACTCTTCTTATTCGGTCCGGGGCGTGCTGACCTGAGTGTAAGTTATCGGGGGAACATGAACGCCATCTTCAGCAAATTTTGTGTTTTTCACTGGGAACCCGGACATCTGCGTCTGCAACGTACCGATGTTCGACTGAACCACATCCGCACAAAGGTACATACGAAGGTACTCATGCGGACAAGAAGGACACAGATATGTATGTCTCACGTTTGTACCTCTGCTTGTATGCTTCTACTTTGCCGTATCAGTACTTTGAAATTGTACTTTTTCGTTTCATGTCCTTATGGATTCTCCCTGGTCATAACATGTTTCTGGTTCTGTTTCGTTCGATGAAAATATTCCCTTCGATTTCGTTACGTCCCGTTCCATCTTACAGGGTGAATCAAAAGTCCTGCCCATATTTAAAACGTTTACTACTTCTTAACGCTGTATCTGATCAAGATGTCATTTTCAGCATTCAAAATATGAGGGAATTCGGTATCGAAGAAAGGATTTTTGCATTTCTTTAACGGCGTCTTTCGGAGATGAAATTCTTGTTTAGGAGTTATATTAAGGCACTGCCACTGGTAAATACTCTTTCGGCACTTCGTCAAATTGTCTATTTGAGTCTAGGAGTTATTTTGAACTGGCCGTGATCAATACCAATTCAAGAGCATTGAAGAAAATGACTAATTAACGATTGACCATCGATGAGCCGGCTTCGCTTTACTCGAATGCTACGGAACCCGCCCGACAATTCCGGAAGAAACTCATCGGAAAAACCGTCAGCCCGTTGATAGCCCGTATCGACTCGAATTTTGAGAGAACGGCAACCGTACCAGTCCTTTCCAGATCTGGACACCCTCTGGCAGTCGAACAAAAAAGTAGACATTGTGCTCGGAGCATGTTTTCATGTGAATGTATATGACCTGCAGAATATGAATTTCGTTTTCGAAAGATATCATGAACAAAATACTTCTAAAATCTTCCATCAGATACAGAAATGTCTAATCTTTTGAATGGTGAAATCCACATATTGCCGAGAAGTTACAAACGTTGAAAAGGTGGGCAGGACTTTTGACTCATCTTGTACAACATAAGGGAAAATTGAGCAGTTAATTTCCATGGGAAAAGCGCAAAAGAGAACCATGCGAATGAAGTGTCAAGCACCATTTCCGAGTGTTTGTGTTTCCTAACTCGGTCTGAATGAAGAAAACCTTGCTGGATTCATGACAGGTTTGGTCCCGTAAGCGCCTACTCCGCTTGTATCTATTTCCATTGTGTGCAACTCTGCCCACATGAATTTCAGTGTCCCTTCATGGCAATCAGTGGCCCACAGCGGCATCAAAGTTCTACTTTCCCCAACTGTGGTATTACGATTCGCAAAAGCTGCGAAACCGCACCACAGTCAATCGGTTTCATATCGGCAAGATGAGCATCGTCCTGATGGGTGAATTCATCGCCACTGTGCAGCAGAATTGGCCGATGACGACTGTCTCGAACATGAAATCAATGCAGTAAAAGAAACAAGAAAGGGAATGTTTATTACTTGGTAAAGTTAGGGAATCCTGATCCGTTTCATCGGGTCTGGGAAATCCCTCAATAAGGCATTTCAGAATTTTGTCAAATGAAAGAATTCCTGTGGAGGATGACAAAGTGGATGCCAAAGTTTTGTTAAGATTCGCAAGTCCAGCTCCTAACTCATCTAAAGAGCATCTTTTCACACGGAGGATCATGTTCCAAATCACCATAATGCACGTATTTGGGTATCGCTGTATAGCTGCTAGCCTCGTATTTCTCATGTATGCAGTGGAGACTATCCCATTAGGATGAGAATCGCTTTGGCGTCTTCGAACCCAGCAGACTGCACCAGATACGCCTTGAGACCAATGCGTCTTTCTGACTTGGACATTGAAAGGCAATTGTTAGATGCAGACGGCTGACATTTCATCTCACCGAGAACAGCTGTTTTTGGCATTTTAGTCTCCTGCTGCGACAGCCGATCAAAGGACATCGACCAAAGTGGACCATGTCCATTATGGCTGAATCAGAGGAGCGCCAGGCAGAAAGCTTAATGGAGGCACTTCCCTGGCTCCTTTCTTTAACGTTAAAAAGCAACGTGAATTTAATTGGATCTTCCCTTAGCGACAGAACTGCCAGTTGATTCGGTAGGTTTGCGAACAGTCGCCAACTTCAGCCTAACAATAGATGCAATTCGGCAGCGAAGTAACGGTCGCGGAAAGGTCTGCTGCTAGCAATCTTGCTTCTTATTCTTGGCGTGATCCCGTCACGGGAATATGCAAAGAAAGGAAAGGATGTCAACCGCTTATTTACGAGATGTACCCTGTTCAGCAAGATTGATGAATCATTTGAATCTTGAAGCTAGCTTTACGTTTAATAACAGTTTAGACGGTCTCATCTTCATAAATAAATGAAATGTGATCAAGAATGCCATAAGTGATTTCATTCTCGATGGCGTTCCTTTCGTAAGCGCTGATAATTTGTAAAGGGACCCTTGAAAATTTCAAATGCGTGCGAGATTAATACAAGAGTGTAAGTAGACGATAACTGACACTTTCTATTCCTGACATCTTCAGTCGGGGAGTTCCGGAAGGGATGGATCTCATGTCTCATTCTGCTTCAAATTTTTCTCGTATGGTCATTTTTCACTCTTTTTCCCCCTCTGGAGGCTCAATCGGTCGGTTGGGATTTCAGGGGACAGAAGGGGACACCGCAGATATCGACGTTAATGCTCCCAAAGAGCTTCAACTCCGATTCAACAGGCACGTGACAATAAGGACCTTGAATGTGAATTCCGGAAATTTCGGAATTATTGGACCGGCAGTAGTTGTGATCTTCTGCACCTGCATATTCAGGAAAATCGTTCTCCACCTCACTGAACTCCGGTTGGTAGCCACCGGCAGCGCTCCACGGAAGGCATGGCAAGCCCCCTATGGTCTGGTTCTTCCTCCCTGCGTAATCCCAACCCCATTCGGTCAGCTTGCACTCTGGCGGGGCTGTTGGGAAGAAATGGGAAGTTGGGAGACTGATTCATCTTTTGGGCTCTGCGATTCTATCTTAATTATTCAGGTATTTAAGAAAGAATCCCTTTCCACACCTGACAGTTCTTCATTTGTTTTCTACCTACGGAATATTTAATTATAGGTTCTCAGTAACTCAGAAGAGGAAAACCATTTTATATGCGTGTGAATAGGAGAATCTTGAGGAGATCATTTTATGATGCTGATGACTAAATGAAGCTGAGAAAATAATTTCAAGTCGTTACTTTCCATGTGAATGGGGGAAAATACGTTTTCCCCAAAATCTTAAAAGGAAATTCCAAAATATTGGAAACAAAACTACGATATTTAGAGGTGAAACTACTCATGGCCTCTTGGTGAATATTGTCGATTCTAATTATGAAAGAAACGGCTGAAGTGTTTACAAAAAGCATCCGCATTCTTCGGATCGTACCTGTCATCATGCATCAGACATTCGCCTTCAGAAATTCATTCATATTCCTGCCTCTAGAGCAACACAATTTTTCCTTTAATTATTCTTGGAAGATTTTCACTTGATTCAAAAATGTCAGGTTAAAAATGTTAAAAGAGGCTAAGTAATAATATCAAGTAGTTCGACTTCATCTATGAATCAACTAAATAGAACACCTCTAGCTCCATTTTTCCATATAAATCTGGAATAAACGTTTCTGACCCTACCAATTCATTCCATCGCGTTCCCTCGATGAGCTCCACGTCATTTCACTACAAGTCATTTCTACGTCAGAGAAAGGACTGCCGACATTTACCTGTAGACAATTTATTAACTGTATGTCATTTCACTGTGATAACCTTTTCGCTGCATCCAATTTCGCTGTATAAATCGTCCTGGAAATGGTAGGTGATGAAATGAAGCTAGTTAATACCCAGTCGAAAATTTTTCGCCGGGCCATCGATGGCTTTTCGCTGACGCGCATATAAGCCGTAGTTGGCCATCATTGCTATATGGTTGGCTCACGGTTGGTTTAAGCCGGCTTATAGTCGGGCATGTCTTGTTGGCCCTTCATTGGGCCAACTTTGGCTCATTGTTAGGAAACCGCACATGCCCCAACCATCGACCGACTTTCCACAATAGTGAAAAGGTATAGGAAAAAGAAACCGAAAAAATTTCATCTACAGCATCATGTATCTCGGAATGATGAGAATGCATTTTTAGACCTTTTAATGCTCCTTCATCTGGTAGAAATGAAGGAACAGGACCTTATCTGAGTCCCGTACACAGGTACACTCCTACCGCTAGGAACATCCCTTCTGGATGCAGAGGCATTCAAGAGCGGAATCACATGGGAATGCAGGGGTGTCTACCTTCCTACAGAAGAATAGACTCACTTTTCACGTAATTGTACATGGAAGATAATACCTGTAAACGAAGGTAATACAGTCGCGTGGCGGATTGTGGAAAGGAGAAGGATCCTCCCACGGACCTCCGGGCCGGAAGTTCCTCGTTTATACCAGAGCAAGGTTACATCTTCAGAGAAATGTTAAAAGGAAATCGATTGTCTTCCTCTGAGATCTATGTGAAAAACCATAGGGAACCGTGTCGAAGGGACAGGGGACTCATCTCTGTAGTATCCGGGAAGTGACTCCCCACTACGACCACTTTAGCTCCATCTCACGCCGATTTTCGGAACCACTTTGGCCTATCTTCGGCGAATGATTGGCCGGCCAACTCACAAGTGACTCACAAGTGTGAGTCGGCCTGCCAATCAATCGCCGAAAATGGGCCAACTCCCCCAGCAATGGCCCGAAGATAAACCAACGAAAATTGTCGACTGGGTCTCATTATGGGAAACCCTCAAGAGCAAATTAGGGGAATTGTCAGATGAAATTAAGAACTGGAGATTGTGCGCAATACCGCGCAAATATGAAAGGGTATCAATTTACAGCTACAGGTCAACCAAGGTCGGAAGGCGATCATCAGCTGCCTGTCCCCCCCCCCCCCCCCGCCCCCCCTCGAGGCTGCGGATAGCCAGAGAGTGTCTGCACTACTCGGACCTCCTAGCATCTCTGTTCCTTATTTAAATACTTGAGAAACTCCCATAGCGTTGGTTCAGTACATTCCAGACCACTTTGGAATACATTGTGCCAGGCTTCAATGGCATTGTTCGTGGGAGGAAGACCTTGGAACATTTACAACGCACCGTTTGTGAAGTTTCAAAATCCAATTTCGAACATTGGTTTTGCTCGACCTGTTCTGATTTGTATACTATAGCCGTGAAAACCTTTACCAAGACGTACGGATAGATGATGAACGCGCAGAAGTGACTGCACCGAACGATGGATACGCTTGAACAAGAAGAAACTTCAGGACGAAACTGTACTCAAGACTCCAAGCCACTATCATTCATATTTCCTAGACTTGCCCTTCAGAATGAAAAGGAGAAGTGAAATGAGATACGCAAGAAAATGGAAAAGGAAGGCATTGAAAATGTATATCCAGTGAAATGACGCACAGCGAAGTAACCGTAATGAAAATGATATGGACTAAATTCCATACAGAGAAATGTCGTGCCGTGCCCACGATGGAACATCACACACTTTAGAATCTTACCAGGAAAGCGATAGTATCAAATGAATAATTTTTAGATGGGTCATGGATGAGGAAGAGTGGGGTACCATGGACAAATGGACATGATGAACTGCAGCACTTCGAAAATCGGAGATGCATGAAATTCGCAACAGTACTTCATCAGCAAGTGCAAGTTCATTCTTGCGGCCTTGAGTAATTTCATGTTCTTGATAATGTATGTTTTTCAAAAGTTAATAAGATAATGCTGAGATCCTAATCCCAGGAAAAAGATTATTTTTCAAACATATTCTAGGAATCATTGATTTGAATTGTATCTTATAGTTTTTCTTTCCCTCAATGTATCTGATAGAAATGGCGAGTTTAAAATCGGTACACAAATAGCTGTTCTGGATCAGGAATTTTCCAGCTGTTGACGTACTTCCTGTAAGCGCACATTTTTCCGTTGGTAGTAACTTCATAGAATTTGTTTTGCTCGAAGGAAACGCAAACACGTAGAACGTATGGATGAAATATATTGGCATCTAGCAGTGGCATGAGATGAGGAAAAATGGTGTTTTAAAATAAATCTTCCAATGTCATTTTTTGTGGCACGTTAGCGTTTCCAAACTCCTTTTCATGCCACCGAAACGGAAAGACCTAGAGAGTTGAAATTAAGCACGAACTTAATTCTCTGAGCAATAATTTAAGCAAAATTCTTCTTATTCGGGTACGAACTTTCAGAGCGCATTTTTGGACTTGACGTATTATGCAAAATTTTGCCCCATCGAAATGGTTAAACATTAAAACGGTACTAAAAAAAAGTGGTTAAGGTATTTCTCTGGATTTATATCCAATTTTTATTCTAGAAGTATATCCCCCCAGAGAAAGTGTTATCATCATGTTCTTTACAGATCTATATGAGTACATTTTCGACCTAAAGACACTTAAAAAGAAAATCTACTTCAACCTTGGATGTCCTTGAATGTCCTTGGATGTTCGTGAGGTTCAAAGAAAGTATACAATTAAAATAAAACAGCTCTATAGTTTTATCTTATTAAGCCCTGCATAATAACTTCAGCTTCGATCCTAGTACGTACAGTTCTCGGAACGACGCCGAAAAGGATAAAATACAATTTTCAATGGATATTTCACAGAGAAATGAGGCTACTCGAGTTTATTAAATTAGGCGTGCAATGCCTACTCCTTGTAACCCTAAGCCACAATGAAAAATACCCTTGATGAAAGCAGTCTGACCGCATCGGTTGGTGGAAGAATGGAAAACGGATGCCTTAATTGCGCAAGTGCTTTTCTTGAATCGTCGAGCGCCGAATGTGCTTGTCAAGAGCGAGTTTGTTTGAACGAAGGGCCAACATACTCACTGGGATGAAATAGAAATAATGATTCCAAAGGAAAGATCCATCGAGCCCCATCGGGTGGCGCACCATGAACCATTTTGAACAAATTCATTAAAAATATTTAAATCTAATTTCGCATCTAATTTCTTCAGGACTAACCTTTTAAAGAGTTGTCCTCGGCGCCCCACCCTCCCTTACGATGTGAAGGAATAAGGGGTTTCAGGAATTTCATTTTCACGATTTTGAAATCCTAAATCTCTGGTCGTGGTAGGGACTATCAATGAGCAAGTATATTTTCATTGAAATGTCGCAAGAAACACTGGAATCACTTACCAGCATTGTCGCAAAGTGGGATGTCGCAATATTCCCATTCCATGTTTTGGTGATTGATGATGCACCATGGTTTCTCTTTCTTTCCTTTATTCCGACAGTAATTCTTGTGGATCAGGTTGGTTAGATCAGGCTCGTCCAACTTACCCATTACGGCTTGCCTTCGACGTCTGGTGCTAATCGGCAACCAGCTGCCGTAGTCTCCAATGTCAGGGTCAAAATATTTACTCAACCAATGGTGAAATTCAAAGAAACTTTTGCCCACCAATTCAATGATATACGGAGGGAATGATTTAATCCTATTTAAAATGGTGTTCTTTTCTTCGAGCCAATATTGACACTTTTTCCCTGTTGCTGTCTTCGTCTCCGTCCCTATGTATTCTCTCCCGTTCTCCGTTAGGAGGCATTGGGGATACACGTGCTTTCCGCCGCCGCCTTGGGCTACAATAGTAAATCGACTTGCTTTTCATCCAGCGATGCATTTCATACAAATATTTATGTTCCCAGGTAATTTCAAGTTAATATAAACGAAATGCATGCAGGAGCGTTTTACAGCATATTTGTTCTAGATTGAAGTGATAGCAATGCAGGGAGTAGGGAGTGACTACGGGGCTGACTAATAACAAGCAAATGATGATGGCCTCTTCAGTGGCTCACATTTTTGGAGCGGAAGTCTCAGGAAAAGCAAATGTAGACTCACTCGTGCTGATGGATTCTAGAATCTCGTAACAGTAGGGGACGGAACAGAAGTCCATTCTAAGTCTGCCATCCTGGAGAACAAAGCAGTGTGTGTTCCAGACATCATACAGACTACGACAGAAGTTGTGCCTGCTGTCCACGGGATCCGGGAACAAATGGATGTCGTTCTCTCCTTTGGAATTGTCAGCCAAGTATTTCAACCACGGTTCACAGGGCAACCCCCTGGATGAGACATTCTTCTTCCCCATGTAATCCCAGCCTTTCGTCGTCAGCATGCACTCAAGCGGAGCTGGTGGGATCAATTCACAGCAGTTATTGGACTATTTACTCGATACCGCCAATTTAGGTTTCGTGAATCATGAATCATGAAGTTCAGAAAAGTTTACGAAAGGATTTTCGCAAAATTTGAGCAACTGCGATTTCATTTCATATCTAATTTCATTGCGCCCATGGAACCATGTTTCGTCAACTAGCACGACATTACGATCGTACGATCTAGTGAACGCCTGGAAGCGATAACCACAGGACAAGACAACGAGTGACAGAGTTCTTCATTCCAGAAACCCACCCCGGTCTTTGCAGAAGGGTATGTCACAGTATTCCCATTTGACAGCTGGATACTTTGACACAAAACACCATGGTCTCTGCCCCCATCCAGGATTTCGACAGAAATTAATGTGGCTCTTGGGATCTTCAGTGAAGAAATTCCTGTATTTTTTCATTTCCTTGGAATCTACCGTCAGCGGGAGGATCTTCATCATTATATCTGGGAATGTCGTCATATCGGAGAAATCATTCCATTTCATACATGGTTTTCCTGTTTCGCTCGTCCTGACCATGCCCATGTATTCCTTGCCCATTTCAGTGAGCCGACAATAGGGAAAGGTCAAAGTTGTCTCCTGATTCTCATCTGAAAAGGAGATATGAATGCATGTTTACTTTCACTTCGGAAAGTTAGCTCCGTTGAAATCTATGCGGAGCGTTAAACCATTTTCGTGTTCGTGTGTGAAGGCACTGACTTGACTATGTGAGATTTAAAAGCCGATGCATCCATGGTATGTAGAGGCCGATGAGAGTACCGGTTCCCTTTAGTTAAATGTTTTATGAAGTAATGCGAAAACAAATTTTCAAACGGCTTTCCCTTTCTCCCCCCCCCTCCTGCACCCCCATTCTCTATAGGACTCACTAACGTTAGGCCTAAGTCTAAAAACAGACGGCCTTTAGGTCACCCCTATGCCTACCTTTGTGGTGAAAAAGTGGCCAGATAATTGAATAACACACCAACATAACAGTGCCAGGGAGGATAAAATATTGCTTCCTAAGTGGTGGATGGGCTAAGGCTGGAACAGGCCATTGGGCACTTGAACTGACATATGGACTTCTTTGTGGGGATTCACCATGTAGCAGGTTTACAGAAGCAAGGTTCACCACATGAAGGATCGTACAACCACAATTTACGCTGCAATTGAATCCACGACATCCATGACACCAGCAATGTTGGCCAACGCGTTCAAGGATACCCACCGTTGGCAATAATGACGCGATATGCCAACGTATGAGGTGGACACGTAGAGATCAACTACTGCATCTTGATGAAACAATGTTTAAGTAATTTAAGTTTGTCCATTTCAGTAATTGAACCTGAAATGTAAAGGAAATTCCTTGTCTTACATGAAAATATGAAAATGGATAGGGACGTTATGGACACCCTGTTTATGCCGTTAAGGGTGAATCCGTGGGCTTCGAGACGTGAGACATACACTCAGCGGACATTGAGATATGACCTCCAACCTTATATCGTGTCGGGCCTTCCCGGGCTCGGATAACAACCTGTACACGCCGTGGCATGGATGTCGCGAGGTTACGGAACACATCCGGAGATACCACGTATGGCCTTGCAGGCTGTCTGCAAAGCGTCCCATAATTGTTCAACATTGCTTCATTGCAAGACATCGCGCGCCATTCTGCTAATTCAAGGATGTCCGGATCAGATATCTCTATGTCACACCACATCGATCAATCACTGATAACTATCGCTTTTTTCTCAGCTTAACTCATGAATTCAGCAAGAAAAAGTATGAAAACATTAAGCCTAATAGAACGACAGCAAATTTCAATTTTTTTAAATGGCGGAATGAAGCATCGCAAACAACAAAAAGGACACTTTCCGTCATCTACAAGTCAATATCTTTCTCATGATTGGTCCCTTTCTTTTGATAGCCTCCAGGAGTGACGAACCGGGGGGGGGGGGAATAAAACGAAATAAAATTCACATCTTTGCAAAGCGAGATTCAGTGATCCCTACAACCCTGAGGAGATGGAGCTTCGAATTTTCGGGAGCTATTCTGTGTTGGGAGAGGAAGAAACATGGAATTTTGTTCCTGTTGATGCTCTCAGAGTGGCCCAAGTAACACAAGATATTCCAGCAACGTTTAGGAAATGTTGATGAACAATGTCGCATCTATGTGTAAATGTCCAAAACGTCAACGTTGCTCAAATGTTGCGAAGGAACATTGCATTTACGTTGCAAATCGCTACTTATTCATTACATACATGTTGAAGATACGTTTCAGGATTTATGTTGCTGCAATGTTGATTAAAAACGTTGCTTCACGGGCACCAAATCTGGATCTATATTGGCATTACGGAAAAGCGTAGGCTTCACTGATCCTGAACTGGAACGATATTCCACCAATATTGAATTATGTATTTCATCCTTTCGTACATTATCATCAACAGGACGAAGCCTGTACTGGTATAACCCCTACTCCATGCATAATACAGTATCTGTATCATGTACAGGCAGGAGACAGTACATTTTTGGAGGTGATCTTTCCCTGGATGTGCTAAATAGCACAATACAGGAAAAGGTCCGACCGCAATGTTCTATGGAGTGTCCACGAGATCAATCCTTCGTTTCCTCAGCTAGTACCCAGGATGAGGATATGAAGGATTGAGATCGCAGACTCTACCATCGTTGTTATTGTCCCGTTCTTGGAAAGGGTTCTTTTTGGGAATATGAGTTTTTTCTATCTTGACCCCCCCATTAATCTGTCTAGAAAATGAAGATAACAGGTGATGAAGTGTCCGTGTTCATTGATTCCTATAATGAGACAATGTGAGACATATGGCAAGGTACTAGACATTCCTGTGCGGGACTATTCCAGGAAAAGGGAGAAGGGCACTTTTGTGTACTGTGAGAAAGCGAGACTTACGTCTCCATCTCGTGGCAAGGAGGACAACTTTACAATTCTCTAAAACTCCTAAGTCCATGTTGTATCAGAATGTTGTCGCTACGTTGTCGATGTCAAGAGTGTCAACATTCTCTCAATGTTGATAGCTAATGTTGCAATGACATTCGTAGAAGTGTCGCAGCAACATTCCAAGTGAAAACGTTGAAGCAACGTTTTATCAATGTTGTACAGCAACTTGCAACATAGTATATTGATGAAACGTTTTCGAAATGTTGCCTATGTTGCTCTGTGTTACTTGGGGGAATACGAGACGGTTGACGGTTGACGGTTGTGGGAAGGGGTTTAAGAAAGGTATTAGGCGCTACCTCGCCTATTGGCTATTGACTCAAACTGCCGCTGGTGCAGTCGAAACACTAGTTTCAAATTGCTCCCATGCTGTCCATCGTTCAACATTTCTGGGAACATATGCAGGAAGACGTTCTATCGATCATTCTTAGGGACTTCGCCCGAGGTTTGCCCATGTAAGCAGTTGTTATCCGCAGGTTGGTGCTTTGCACGTAGCGCCCCACGTTTTACCCGATGCATCCACGAATTGGCCCCACATGTCCGCAAAGAGGGCATAGTGTATCATGATTGCTCGATTATTAGGCTCGTCCGAATGAGATACTGTCTAGAGCAGGCCTACATTAGGATTTTTTTCCTATATCCATATCATATCGCGAACATCAATATCATAGGCTACAACCTAGATCGGTCCAGAATCAATTCTGAGGGGAACGTTTGCTTGGTCGGATTCGACATTTCATCACTTTTATCCTCCTTTTATCCAATACTCATAAAACCCATGTAGAACTATCTCGAGAAATTCTTTACTGACCAGCTACTTTCCCCTGCAGTTGGCAAAAAGGAACGTCGCAGTAGTTCCAACCAGCTTTCTGATATTCTCCATCGTAGCACCAAGGACCCCCTGGACGACCGCCAGGATTTCTGCAATAATTGTGATTTTTATCCACATCATCCGAGAATGCAGGGAGTCTCTCGCTCCACGCCCGGTATTGAGTTTCCATAGGAGCACTAAGCCAAGGCAGGCATTTAGTCCCCGCAATGGTACTGCTCTTCTTCCCCACGTATTCTCCACCCTTTTGCGTCAGTTTGCACTCCAGCGGAACTAGAAACAGTACACCCTATCATCCAAATGTGAAATTCGTCAGGGAAGTCAATACTCAATCGGGAATAGTCCAAATACGAGAGATACTCTTGACACCCTATCTCTCTGCATATTTCAATATGACAAAGACAGCATACAACGGAAAGCAAATTGACGCCATACGTATTTAAGAATGCCCATGACCAGGATGTCCAAGGATCAAGAAGTGGATCCGCAGTTAGCCCTGAGTCAACACGCACAGGACTACGATTTGGTCTAGAGTGTATGGAATTGCTATGGTCATAAGCCAGTGTCAGGTTAAGGGAAGACATAGTCTATCTTTTGAAAGTTATGTTTGATTCCTTTCTTGCAGAGGGCTTCTCGACTTCCATAGCGATCCGAAGTTAATATGCGGTGCTTGTTCACTCAATATCCCAGGCTAAGAGCATAGAATATTCTGTGAAGCGAGAAATACATTTTTTTTTCAGTTCAGCATTCTATTATTGACAAATTAACGCATTATTCGAGCTAGAGATTTTTAATGTAAGGGATATAACTATTATCGGATGAAAGCTACCACACGAAGGGATGTTTATGAGGTTGCATAAAGGGACAAGGAGCAAAAGCCAAAGGAAATGATTCCAAATAAAAAGTAATACTTATGTCTTTGCATAGGGGAATGTCGCAGAATTCCCAAATGACGTTGGGGTCCGAGACGAAACACCAAGGCCTCTCCCTCAATGCTGGATTCCTGCAATAGTTTTCAGATACTTCCACGTCCTCGTTGAGGAAATGCTCCCCATAGCGCATTACAGGTGAAAAATCCTTGGGTGTCCTGTACGGCCGTTGATCCCATCGAAGGCAGTCCTTTCCCGTCTTAGTCTTCTCGATTTTACCAATGTATTCCTTTCCCTTCTCCGTCTTCTTACAATCTGGGTACACTGGCAGAATAAATGAACATAAGATAGGCACCGTCTCTGAAGAAACTGTTCATCGTTTCATCCAATGCATTCATTTAAAAACATGGGTTTTTAAAGAAAGAGGCGCGTGTGAATGAGAACCAGGCTCGATTTTAGATTTAGGATGTCGACGATAATTTCCCTATGGAAATAATATATTGGGGTTGAATAAGGATGCAATTAACTTTGATTTATTGCCTACATTCTAGCCTATTCATGCTCGCTATGAGAAGAGAGTATGAACTTTTTTAATTGCTTTAAAAAATTCGAAAATTTGATTTTTCCTCTCTCCCTACATGGTATACATCCACTACCAATAAGTGCAGATGTCCATTATATTCGATTTTTCTCTGGGTCCAAAAATGTAAAATACGAAAATCTGCATCTTAAGAGAAATGGGAATCTGTTTTCTCGCGGATTGGACCCAAGGAGTTACGCTAAGATGGAAACGCTTTTGCCCCCAGTGTTTCAACTATTTCTCAGGGTGGATGGGATGAATATCAAAACCAATTTTATTCACAGATGAGGGATGTGAGAAGGTACAAAAAGTATCAAAAGCAATATTTGATCCTCACTCTCTTCTTGTCAATCAAAGCAAAACATCGCGCTTTCATTGACTTCAACAAATGATGTCATTGTGGCCAAGTCGATCCTGTCCCATTCTTCCTGCAGAAATCTGTCCAGTTCGTTGAGATTTGACGGCTTCCGCTTCTCGATACGCTGTTTGAGGATCGACCAAAGGTCAACGATCGGATTCACGTCGGGACTGTTCGACGGCCAGTCAATCGTTTCGGGTACATCCTCGAGTAGGAACTGCTATGCTTAGGATCGTTGTCTTGTTGCAGTCGCAACCAACGACCGACCTGCCTTCTGGCTTTACGGAGGAGGAGATCTTGAAGGATTTTAACGTAATACCTAGTCAAAAATTTTCGTTGGTTTATCGTTGGGCCATAGCTGGGGAAGTTGGCTCATCTTCGGCGAATGTGGCCGAGAATGTACCGAAAATCGTAGCGAGATGGAGCCAAAGTAGTCGCAGTAGGGAGTCACCTCTCGGATTCCACTGAAATGAGTCCCCTTTCCCTTTGACACAGTTCCCTACGATTCCTCACATAGATCTCAGAGAGAGGATTGAATTCCTTGGAACATTTCTCGAATGATGTAACCTAACCCTGGAATAAACCAGGAAATTCCTGCCCGGATGTCCGTGGGAGGATCCTTCTATTAATACTTTCCACGATAGACCACAGGACTTCATTATTTTCCGCTTCAAGACATCCAAAAGTCTTATTACGTGTAAGGAGTGCCTGGCCTCATGTGGAAGAACGGATACCTTTGCAATCCCATGAGATTCCGCTTCTAACATCCGGAAAGGGGTTAAACCAACTTGGGATATGCTCAGCTGTTGGTGATAAGAGTGTATCTGTGTAAGATGCTCGGGCAAAATATCGATCCTTCATCTCTCCGAGATGAAGGATGCATAATGGTATAGGTGCGCCTCGTGTCGGTTTTTTTCTTATTCCTTTTCACCATTGTGAAAAGTTGACTTATGGTTGGGACATGTACGGTTTCCCAACAATGAGCCAAAGTGGATGTGCCCGACCATAATCTGGCTTAAAACAACCGTAAGGCAACCATATGCCAGTGATGGCCCAACTCCGGCTTATAGAGGCGTCGACGAAAAGCCATCGATAGCCCGATGAAAATTGTTTGACTGGGTAAGGGCCATCCATAATTCTCTCTCACCATGACACCATAATCTTCTGTTTGTTCTTCGGGATTCGCTTGATCTCGCCTTCTGGATTCTTTAAACATCGACGAATCGTGCTTCTGAATAATCGGTAGGAGGTCTCGTCAGTGAATACCGTTCGGCTTCAATTGTCGTTCTTGTGTCCAGTTGCTCACTGGACGCGCGCATCTTTGTGCTTCTGTGTTAACATTTGCGTCGCATGGGGCAAAGTACTCTTGTAGCCCATCCGTTTGAGCTGGAGTTGTACCGTCCATAGGGACACGTGCCAACCTCGGTCCTGAAGCAACTTTTGCGCCAGTTCTTTCGCAGTTGTCTCATGGTATCGTCGAATCCTCTTGCCGAGTGCCTTGTCTCCGGAGACGGTGATCTTGCTGGGGTCGGCCACTACGGCGCCTGTTCTCCACAGTGCCTCGTTCTTTGATNTTGACACCCTATCTCTCTGCATATTTCAATATGACAAAGACAGCATACAACGGAAAGCAAATTGACGCCATACGTATTTAAGAATGCCCATGACCAGGATGTCCAAGGATCAAGAAGTGGATCCGCAGTTAGCCCTGAGTCAACACGCACAGGACTACGATTTGGTCTAGAGTGTATGGAATTGCTATGGTCATAAGCCAGTGTCAGGTTAAGGGAAGACATAGTCTATCTTTTGAAAGTTATGTTTGATTCCTTTCTTGCAGAGGGCTTCTCGACTTCCATAGCGATCCGAAGTTAATATGCGGTGCTTGTTCACTCAATATCCCAGGCTAAGAGCATAGAATATTCTGTGAAGCGAGAAATACATTTTTTTTTCAGTTCAGCATTCTATTATTGACAAATTAACGCATTATTCGAGCTAGAGATTTTTAATGTAAGGGATATAACTATTATCGGATGAAAGCTACCACACGAAGGGATGTTTATGAGGTTGCATAAAGGGACAAGGAGCAAAAGCCAAAGGAAATGATTCCAAATAAAAAGTAATACTTATGTCTTTGCATAGGGGAATGTCGCAGAATTCCCAAATGACGTTGGGGTCCGAGACGAAACACCAAGGCCTCTCCCTCAATGCTGGATTCCTGCAATAGTTTTCAGATACTTCCACGTCCTCGTTGAGGAAATGCTCCCCATAGCGCATTACAGGTGAAAAATCCTTGGGTGTCCTGTACGGCCGTTGATCCCATCGAAGGCAGTCCTTTCCCGTCTTAGTCTTCTCGATTTTACCAATGTATTCCTTTCCCTTCTCCGTCTTCTTACAATCTGGGTACACTGGTAGAATAAATGAACATAATATAGGCACCGTCTCTGAAGAAACTGTCCATCGTTTCATCCAATGCATTCATTTAAAAACATGGGTTATTAAAAAAAGAGGCGCGTGTGAATGAGAACCAGGCTCGATTTTAGATTTAGGATGTCGACGATAATTTCCCTATGCAAATAATAAATTGGGGTTGAATAAGGATGCAATTAACTTTGATTTATTGCCTACATTCTAGCCTATTCATGCGCGCTATGAGAAGAGAGTTTGAACTTTTTTAATTGCTTTAAAAAATTCGAAAATTTGATTTTTCCTCTCTCCCTACATGGTATACATCCACTACCAATAAGTGCAGATGTCCATTATATTCGATTTTTCTCTGGGTCCAAAAATGTAAAATACGAAAATCTGCATCTTAAGAGAAATGGGAATCTGTTTTCTCGCGGATTGGACCGAAGGAGTTACGCTAAGATGGAAACGCTTTTGCCCCCAGTGTTTCAACTATTTCTCAGGGTGGATGGGATGAATATCAAAACCAATTTTATTCACAGATGAGGGATGTGAGAAAGTACAAAAAGTATCAAAAGCAATATTTGATCCTCACTCTCTTCTTGTCAATCAAAGCAAAACATCGCGCTTTCATTGACTTCAACAAATGATGTCATTGTGGCCAAGTCGATCCTGTACTCTTGTAGCCCATCCGTTTGAGCTGGAGTTGTACCGTCCAAATGGACACGTGCCAACCTCGGTCCTGAAGCAACTTTTGCGTCAGTTCTTTCGCAGTTGTCTCATGGTATCGTCGAATCCTCTTGCCGAGTGCCTTGTCTCCGGAGACGGTGATCTTGCTGGGGTCGGCCACTACGGCGCCTGTTCTCCACAGTGCCTCGTTCTTTGATCTTGGCAATATTGTATTCGACAGCTGAAACGGGGATCTGGTCAAACGAGCAATTGTGGCAGGATATCGATGGCCGTTGTTCCAGGAGTTTAAAATAGTTGATCGCTTCGTTTTCGGCGAATTATAATTTTGTTGGCGAGGCATTTTCTCCCAACTCAAGAATGTTTACGACGATTTGCAGTTTTCACAGCTACACTGGTTTCCAAAACTTAAGGAACACCTTAAAAATCCGTGATATGACAAACACCATGTGAATGTTGTGAATAAACTAGCCATAAATGTGTTGTTGGATGCCGGCCGGACGATCCCCGCAAAAGATTGCGATCCAGAAGGCGTAATATCCATTGTTACACAACGATGATGCGACAAGAGTCCAAAGCGACTCCCGGAATGAATTATCCTATGGGGATCGATAGGGTGTGTGGCCACCCCTGACAGCGATGCACGCCTCGCATCGATGTCTCATACTGTTTATGAGGCTATTTCAACTTCCGACTGGCCAGCCTCAAGCCTTCCAATGGCGCGCCATCTCAATGGGTCTGTTAGAGTGTTCCTTTCGGACCTTTCTCAGGAATCAGATATCTTGAAATTAACTGCTTGCCAACCAAACGTGAATTGCGCGACCCCCTCTCGGAACGCCGTATTTTACATACATGTCATTTGCATATCAGCGGGCGATCTCCACCACATTGCATGCGCTATGGCAACGTAGCATCGTTAATTTGCATGCTCCTGCATGTTTCGACCATTTTCATGACGGGGTGTTGCGGAACTTTAAAAAATCTATTTGTTCCTTTTATCACGCCGATCAAACCAAACCTACAACCAGCATGGGTCCGAAATATTGAGAGAAAATAGAAGAAAATACTAAAAAAGCGAAGGATAGCTACGGAAGCCTAATGGACTAGCAAGTCGTAGGAGTCTCGTCAGGGGCACGATCCTACCAAACAACTTGCAGTGTAGTAAAACCCTTTTCGACATCTCCACACCAGGGAATGATCATTAAGGAAGAGGACAGTGGCTGCCGCAATTTTTAAAGGGGGCATTCCGTGAGGAAGTGAAGAATCTCCACTTGTTTTACATTGGTTGCATTATACTGGTAACTTCATATCACAACCAGATGTATCTTAATGCTATAATGAAAAATATTTATGATGCAAAGAGTTTCACCATATTTGTAGGTGTGACCATAACCCCTGTCACAATCGGAGTCTACTTCATCTCCTAAAGCTCTTATGCGAAAATGCTTACTATGCAATCACCGATGACAGTATTGATTGGTCTAGGTTATAGCAAGGTGTTCAAATCGTACATTAGCATTCAGGTAAAATGTAGAGACTTTCTATTGCCTCCATCCCTCGATACTCTGGACTCATAAATATACATGAGGGAAAGCAAGGCAAGCCAATAGAGGAAAAATTCAGTGGCTGGGGAGAAAATGTGGAATTAGAGGAGGCTTCTAACCCGGTTTTGGACAAGACACTCTTCCGGCAACGAAGGAGGTGCACCATGAATCGGGGGAGTCAGAGCAAGTGGCCCAGTGCTCTTTCTTCCCATCTGTGAAGTCCTCGTCACAGTGGAAGAGTACCTTGGCCCCGCTTGAGGCTGGGTATCTCCCATCCCATCTGACGTATGTCACGTTCGCATTCTCCACCTTCGGGTGCTCCGTCAAGCAGAAGTCTGTAGATTCAATATCATTCTTGAAGCACTACTCGGAAGCAAGTTGAAAAGTTTCATTGTGGGAAATCTTCAAGTTTCTGAAGAAAAAAAAAACTTCCTTTTCAAATATGGACTGTTTCGAAATGTCTGTCCTTTGGTCAATGCTTTCAAGTAAAGCTGTCAATTAAAATTTATTAATGAGTCGATTAATGTATTAATCGCGATAAAATAATTATTCGAAATGGGTCGAATTTTAATCTCTCCCTAAATGCCTCTTTTTTAGCGTAAAATTTCAGTGTTCATAATTTTGAAAAACAACTGAGAACGTATGCTTTATCTAGGAAAGAAATGTAACGATGACTTGATAACGATGATGAGAAATGTAACGATGACGAAGGTATTCGTTTTCGCACTTCTCCCCTTCCTCTAAAATGACACATGTTAAGAGTATTGCGCTGCATGTCCTGCAGAGCCCAATTCCGTATAGTTAGAAAAACCTTGCATGTTCTTCTCGGTTGTTGCGTTCATAGTAGGGTATATACTGCGGAAAAGGCGCTGTATAACAGTTGCAGTTAAAAAAATTAATGTCCCTCACTTTGTGGAAATGAAGTCTGCCATAGTAGGAAGTAGAGCATAGTCTGTCATGTCGCTCAGACATTACTAAAGGTCAAAGTCGAGGTGATGGTCGCCCGGAGTGATTGAGAGAGAAATGCAATGTGTAATCATTGAATTCCATGCTAAGGAGGATGCAAAGAGACTGGATATTGTGAAACGTATAGGAACAGCGTGTGGTGAATTCGCCTTGCCATGAAGGACAAGGAGCAGGGTCAGTTCCGTCCGTGCGCGAAAGAAAGCCATGCGAGAGATGGAGTCCGATCGGATAGTTGGCGCACATTCTCTACGTCAGACCCTGGTACGTGGAGTGTCTAGGACGCGTGGAGGAGAGGAGGTATGTCAATAAGGGGGGACGAGAGAAGCTAGTCTAGTAGCGCAGCAATGCTCCTTCGCGCAGCCGGATTTTCTCCCATTGCAAAAGCCGACCGTAGCCACCGAAAAACGATTGCAAGTGTCAGTGCGAAGCGTTGTGCCCTGCTACACATTTCCCATCCTTTTTCCCCCCCGACTTTCTAGTACCTACAATATTTAAAAATATAATTGCGCACAAATTTGTGAAATCGATTGTAAAATGAAGTGGAGAGGATGGCAAATGGTTTATAGAGAGACAAATATAGTGATCTAGAGGCCGGCTTGGAACAACTAGGGCCCTGAGAAAGTCCTTGATTTCCTATTTTCTCGGATACGGATTATGAGGACCAATTGATCATTCGAGTTGTGCAACTTGCAGTTATTTGAAAACCTGTTGACCACACAGATGATCACCAAAGAGTGAAACTACTCCATCTTCTCAGTTCTTTTCTCCCTTCGAGCATCGTTTGCTCCTCCATTTATGGTTCTGATGCTGAAGAAAGTCCTGCAACGCAAAAACAACTGCAGAGCCTCATTAGGGATCTCAGGATATAGTTTAGAAGTACACTTGCACATATTTGACATCAATCAAGGTCCTCTTCTCAAGCCATCGCCAGTCCATTGGCGGATATGCTGCTCAAGAGTGACAACACTCCTCATCCAATTGGCCGAAGGTTGGAGGAGGCCTTTGAAGCTTCTGCAAGTGCTAAGGCTAAGTTACGATGCCTTGCTGAAAGTTTGAAGGAGACGAATCCAGCAGTGAGAAAGGCCTTTTTGAAATTCAAAAAAGTCAAAGGAATACAAATGTAAGCCAGTACATAAAGTCTGTGTGCATCTGTTTCGTCAATAAGAAACCGATGAAGAGGAGCGAATAGTAAAGGGAACGAGAGAGAAACCTACCGCCGCAAGAGCTCGGAAGGCAATGGCTAGACCTGTAAGAGTCATTTGGTTTTGTGAAATGAATGTTTTGATAGCGCATGCGTATTGCATAGGTGCACTCAGCAGCGCTGAGAATTCCAACCCTCTTATGACTCATCCCTGCGTCAGACACCATTCTCAAGGTGAATACGTCGGCAGGGAATGAACACTACATAACAGCGCATGCTATGGAGACTATGGAGATAAAGACTTGAAATTTAGATTTTTATGAGGGAGCAATAGTTCCCGCATATCGCGCACTACTGTTGGCTTCATTTCGCTATCTCCTCTTCCAGGAAATAATTAAAATTGCTTTCAGCTATGCCAGGTGGCTAGGAGTCGCTGCCATGACAACAAGTCGGCATTCGCTGTGTGTCGTAGGACTCGATCGATTTGCAGTTCAAGTGTCAAGGTTTACACTTTGAGTCGAAGGGCATTTTTATCCACGTTAATGTCCCCATTCGAGGTCTATTACAAAACCTTGATTGGATAAATAATGTTTCCATTTACAAGATTGCAAGGAATATGGTTTGGTGCGACTACTCAGAGAATTATTCTTTCATTCTACAGGACGAAGCGCAAGGTTTTCATTGGAACTCACAAGCAATAATCCGTGTGGCAAATTACATAGACTCCGGGAAATCCCAACATATGAGCTTAGTGATAATAGCGGAATGTCTCAATCACGACACCATTGCTATCCATCTATTCCAGAGGAACCTCATCAAATTACTAGAGGATGATTTAGTTCTCCTCCACGGAAAGTCACCTCTTCTGATGGATCTGCTTCCCACAACAAAATTCGAAAAAATTCCTCAACTTGCGCCATCGTGAGACACATATTGGTTTACCAGCTGAGTGTCACTTATTAGCCACCTGCCACGGGAGAAGAGTGTGTGACGAAGTTGGAGGGACAGCGAAGAGGTTGGTAGCAAGAGCCAGTCTCGAACGACCACACAACCAACAATAACGACGTCTCACCAACTGTTCGAATGGGCAACTAGGAATATCCCAGTCATTTTCTTTTTCAAGTATTTTGGATTGAAAGACAACAGGAGAGAGGCAAAGTACCTCGAAGAAAGATTTGCGCAGCCCAGCACGATTCCAGGAACTCAAAAACTTCATTCTTTCATTCCGTAGACGAATAAAAAGTTGCTACCAAAGCGTATTCCTTTTTAATCAATTTCAAAAGAAGAGAGTCACTGTCCTGGGAGATGATCTTGCAACTGGAAAGCTTCATTCATGAATAACGCGGTGTCCTTCAACTCGGCCTAGTTTTAGTTTGACTTACGTTTTTCAAACAGAAATTGTTATTGAAATGTCACTGGGTATTTTTGCTTTTAGGCAAATATATAGGGATTTTCAAGTACCTCCTATCACTCTATTGTTTGTAACTCCTGATCCCATGGCAGTCCCAAGTTGAAACTGTGAGCATTAATGCAGAAGAAATTGGCAATGTTATGGCAATTTTTAAGAAGGAGAACATTTTTTTTCTGAAATGTTTTCTGTAAAGTCAATGATCAGACCCTTTGACCTTTGTTTCTATTGAATGTCCTAAAATGACATGCCATTTAAAAGGGGATGAAGAGACCTTTAAAATGACAGTAACATAAGTTCTCTAAGCTGATTAGAACAAAACTCATACGCCCTTAAATGATGACGACACAAAAGTTTTGTTAATTTTTCCTCTTTTCAAATTTCTACATCTCTCAAAATTCTTGAGGTAGAGAGCTGCAATTTGGCAAATACTAATTCAATAGTCCCTACAAGGGCAGAAAATTCCATAAAGTCAGAAGGGGTCAGGTAAATGGCCGTGTTGATTTACGTGGAATGGCCCTCATACTCCAATTTCTTGGTAAGGTGAAATTGACCTCAATGGATTTTAGGTTCTCTTCAAATTTTTTGAATATGTGGAACGAATTTATTCGAAGTCGCATTATGAATAAGATGAACATTTTAATATAACCTAACCTAACCTGAGTTTTTGAAAGCCTTCATATTTCGATGAAAACCTATATATTTTCTTTTCAAAAGTGAATCCAATTTTTTTTTAAAGTTAAGACAAAATGGGTTTGTTGCCAAAAATGGGCAAAATTAACCTAACTTAAGGTACTATGGGAACATAAAAATCGGATCGAAATTCCTCTTTATAATTATTGTAAGGGACATCAAGAAAGGGCCTTGGAGGCGAATGCTGACTCTCTCAGGTCACGCCCGGGACCATGACTTGAGGTCAAAGGTCACGATTTACATGCCTCTCTTTGAAAATCTGTATCTCCCCAACCCTTGGTCGCAGAAACGTCAAATTTGTGCCATTCTCCTTGGAACATACAGCGATAAATGAAAATTATAAATACATGCATGCAACTGTCGTTCTCGAGACGCCATGACGCCAAAACTGAGACTTTTCCCTGGCCGGATTCTGTTTTTCTCACTCTCATTCTTCTTAGACATTTTCCATCGACAAATGCATGCACCAATTTTTGGAGGATATTCTGGTCCATCTTTTTGCAGAGTTGTGCATAGTTTCATCCAGCCGTTTCCCCTCAATGTACGATGATCTACTTGAAAATGGCACTTTAATGGAAATGACGTGCGGTTGACGGATATTGCTGGAAAACGAAGCAGAATTTCAAAAAATCCTCAGACAGATCTCTTAAGATGTCTCTGAACATGCTTCTTGTGAATTTTCATATGAATTCGTTCACTCTCCCTGGACCCTATCGCTTTTTACTGTGGTCTATGTTGAAAATGGAGGCCATTTCTGTCATACCGGGTCGATTTCCTCTGTTCATAGGTCGCAAATACTGAATTTTTTGTACCTATCGCACAGAGGGATGTTTCAGGGATAAAATGACACCAAGATTGGTTACTTTCTCCTAGGGAATAGAAAATAAGGAGCTTGAATTGCCGATTTGCTTGATATCTTGAATCCACGTGCGCAGCTCTTCCTCGTTGGACCTCCTTCCCTAACCACACCCACTTGTGCTGTGTGTGAGGGAGTGGCAGGAGAAGCAGGAGACCGAAGCGACTTCAACTTGACTTGACTTCAAAATGCGGGGCTTTTTTTTTTCGTCAAGCTTGTCACTGTCAAGATGTGGAGGGGGGGGAGGGGGGGACGGGTTCTGACGGAAAGGGAGGTGCATGATAGAGGCATTATCCTTT